AAAATCCCTTTAGTCTTTAAAAGGTGTCTTCAACATGTTCAAAATTGCAATTTAAGATACAGTTTATGTCACTGAAGATTGCACTATGTATACATATATACTTCATCTTTGATTTATCAATAGTTAATGCATCACTTAAACCAGTAACACTGTCTCACCATCTCTTCTGTGCCAGTGTATGCAGTGATTGCTGTGAGGGAGAGGATGCAGTAGTACACGGCTGTTGGGTTGTTGTGGTCCTGTAGTACAGTGCTGAACAGCTGGAGGAGCTGGCAGTAGTGAGGCTTGAAAGGCTCGGGGTTGGACTCAATCACTTTATTCAGCAGCAGAAGACCAATCTGTTAGAAACAAAGTGTTCATTTTCAAATGTTTTTTTCACAATGAGAAACAATTGATATATGAATTAGTGGGTAACCACAATGGGTAAATAGGCTATCATGCGAAAAGGCCATTGCACTACAAGTCAGTTTTTTTTGTCCAAAATTGACGCACGTTAAAAAAAAGAAACAGTGCGCCTATAGCCTAGTGGTTAAGTCTTGATTGCCCCATGTACGGAGGATATAGGCCCTTTGCTGCATGTCATCCCCCACTCTCTCCTCCCAACATCGAATTAGGGATCCAAAAAACTAATCCGGGGAAAAAAACGGACTCAGTGTGCAAAGGCCTTAAGTCTTATTACAAACATTTCTAGTTTTTTTTTATAAATCCCAGGATACCTGTCTATCATTAGGGTTGCTGCTTTTGGTGGATTGATTGAGCAGCTGAAGTAGAGCAGGCCAGCTGTCCGGTGTCTCATGCTTTACCATCACAGCACACAGCTGGGAGAGGGAGTGCTGCACTGTGTGCCTGCAAAATAAAAGATTCATGGGCATAAATGGACGTGTATGACTTTTCCAACTCATATGCACATGTATGGCCATCAAACTTCAGGTAACATTGAAAGTGTAATTTACATCAATAGAAGAAAACTGGATGATTTAGACCAGCTCATTATTGATGTAAAGTCAAACTAGCTTACTCTGTTTCCTGCATGAAGGCCTGCAACACCACCACCTTGAGGCTGTGTGGGGAAAAACAATCACAATTACAACCCTGTTTCCACCCAATGTTCATTTCAACAACGTAAAATGATCCAGCACAAAGTGAATAGAGAACCTCTCTCTGTCGTTGGGGCTGATCTTCTTCCAGTGTTTCTTCACTCTTAACCTCAGCATCACTGCAGCCGACTGACGGTTCTAAGAGGTCAAATCAGTTACAGGTAGTTTATAAAGATTCACACATGGGGAAGGGGGGCAAGCGCTGACACAGACAATCTCTCTCTGTCAGATACAACACAATACCTGCGGGGTCTGTGAGCCGCTCATCACAGCACACAGAGCTGGTATAATCCCCGGGTTTTTAAAAGCCTGTTTCAGCTGGGCTGTGGCCTAAAGGGAGATCAAACAGACAGGTCACCACAAATACTTTACTGTACAGATACCCTTTATGGATAAAGCATCACAAAGTCACATCACATTGTTATTTTTATTCCTCTATGAAGATATAAAGATCAAAATGTGTCTTAACCGACAGATGACAACAGTTAGATCGACCGGTAAAACCCGTTAACCGAAAGTTTTCTCGGTAAATTAACAAAGTTAACAAAGTGTTTCGTTACCTGCTGAATGACTGCATTGTCAGGCTGTGTCAGCTGTGACAGAATGTGTTCAAGTTCCTCTGTCATCTCGACAGATCCGCGTTTACCTCCGGATGAACTGTTAACCTTAATATTTTAACTAAACCAGATTAATTAGTTTTTCTTCCGTGCAGCGGAAATATCCGACGACGTCCCGACACTACACCTGTCAGGTAAACAGAGTGTGTAAAGTGTGTGAACAGGTTTGAGCTGTCTGTCGATGAAGAGTCAGTAACGTTACTTTCACTGATTCAAACAGCACCCTGCGGGTCCGTTAGCGCTTCAACTGCCAGCACGCGGAGCAGAACCGGCCCGGAGCTCCATGTGAGTTCACTTAAAGAAACCGGAACCGATCAGTGTGATTACTACAAACAGCGACGACTACCGGAGAGGAGGACATCATGTAACTTCATTTAAAAAATATTCCAAATTAAACTTGGACACGTTTAAGATGTAAATAAAGAACTTTCAATAACATTTATCTGATATTTATTTTAAGATAAATAAACACAGCTACAGGTCGTCAGATACAAAGATGGGCGGACTGCAGTAGATTACATCAAGATTCATTTACACTGTTAAAATAAGATAATCCTTTATTTATCCCACAACGGGGAAATTTACATTGTTACAGCAGCAAAGAGGAAAGACTGCAAACAAAACGTGAACACAGTACAATTTAAATAAAAAAAGAAAAATTAAGAATGTACAAAAAAATAGATTTAAAAAATTCAAAATAGATCAGCTATTTGACAGAAGTGTGGTCCGTGATATTCAGTGTAGCACACAGTGCACATAAAGTGTAACATGTTATTGCAGTGGTTTGATAAACATAATATAACATTAATATAACATTATTATTGCACAAAGTCAGAGTGAATTGTCCAGTTGTGTGTGTGTGTTTTGTGATGTACTGGGAGCAGGCTTGGTTAAACAGTCTGACTTGCAGCAGGAAGGAAGAACCTGCGGTATATGGAGTGGTGTCAACTTAAATCTATTGTTGTTTTAAAATATTTAGTGGTAGGTACTGTTGAATTGTATTGCCTTTCAGATAGTGGTGTTTAATTTGCCTACCCTTTGTGTTTTAAGAGTCATGCAAATATTTTTTGTAGTGATTATCCCAATTGTTTCATTTCCTTGAGTAATCAGCCAATGTTTTAGAAATAGGTAAAATCTTTATTTGACAAGCATGCACATTTATATAAAGTTTACATAAACCAGTGAATGGGAAACATATTTAATAGTGAGTATAGTTTTACTTATGATAATTTGGTTGATATTTCTAAATTGTTGGCTTTTACTGGTGCAGCCTTATATTTGTGGGTGTAGGTCGGGTTGGGAAAGAGTTCCCATAAGATGCAGGCTGGAGTAGGTACTCACACACTTCTCAGGTATAACAAGAGAGACTGATTGTCTTGCACTTCACGCACCAATAACAACGACTGACAACACAGCTCACTTCATCTTCACTAGTCTGCACTGTTTAAGAAAGAAACACACACAAACGTATCATGTAACTTGTCCTATGAAGACCATAAGCTGTCTATTTCAGCATTCGTTTTTGAGACACTTTAACATCTACCATGTAATTGGTTTACTGTTTTAGATACTTCATGGACAGGTTAAACACCTTCCAAAGATATACTGCCAGAAGGTTCTTTTTTCTCTAACCGTGATTTTACAAAACTCACAATACCACACATTTAACACGCCTTACCATCAAAGGCCAGTCTGCAATACCCTTAGCACATACCAATGCTAATGAACGGCACACATGCTTACCCAACCCCTATACACACCCAAACTATCATCTCCCCTTCTGTATATCTTGGCCCATTCAAGATCACACAAACACGCCCTTTCCAGGCAGAGATCAGTGGAAATGCTAATGTTCCTATTACGCTCCCTGTTCTCGTAGCATTACATCACTAATTGACTCATTACCAAGTCAATACAACCAAGTAGGGGGAACACAAACAACCACTTGGACTGTAGCATGCAGGCTAATCTGGTCATCTTTGTGAAAAGAAATGCAAATAGAGGTTAAAGCTGTGTATGTCAACATGTCCGTCCAAGTTGAAGGAACGCTGGGACTTGTAGCTGGTCTCTGTCTATGATAACATACACAGAAAATACTCATTTATTGCTACATGTGTGTTTTAAAATCATGTTTCAGGCTGAGTATCACGTCTGACAAGTTATAGTCTGTGGAATACCTCACTGGATCAACTGCCTTCAATAAATGTGTAAAGTCATAAACAATAACAAACGAGGGACAATTAGTTCATCATATAATAATCATGCTTGTGACAGAGAAATATGTGAAGTCTCCTGTTCGAGGAAAGGAAATAAGATGGTTAAATTATAATTAATCACGCCATAATTTGAACTAAACAGATTCCACTTGTTTGAAAAGCAGATTGTTTGCCTATTAGGTAACATGTGAGCTACACATTTTTCTTTGTTTAGCCGCCTTAAGTTACAATTTGAGGTGCTGATGTGGTGGTGGTGGTGGGGGGGTTACAGAGGACGGGTTTTATATAACAATCATGAGGGCACTAAAACCCTTCCATGCTTAGTGTCCTTCTTGCAGTGTGATTATATATCATATGCTCATCTTATTTTCATTCTCAGGGAGTTGGAGAATGCCCTGTCCTTTTTAGGGTGGGTATAAAAAATGTTCTCATAGCAAAATGCCCCATAAACAAACAAACAAGAACCACCAACAGTGGTACCATCAGAGCCCCTCAAACAAAGTCTCAAATCAATTACAAATATTTCATGTGGACCGAACTATCTTGCCAATATCAATTTCTCTAATTTAATTAACTCAGTAATTTATCAAATGATTTAATCCCCCAAAGTGTAAGTCTACTAGATGCTGTAATGCACATGTAGCCTATTACCCCACACCACTGAGGCCAACCAAGAGAGTTTTACTGCCTCAAGGATTTGATCAAGCATGGACCAGCCTTGACTTTACAATAAAGACTTAAACAAGGTTCAAATAGTGCAAAATCTTATTCTAATCGAATTAATGTGTGGCATTATAATCTACCTAAACTGTGATACCAAGACATGACTTTCAATAAAAAAAAAAAAAAGTTACGAGTAATTATAGATATTTTATGTAATTTAAACATTACCAAATTCAACATGGACAAATTGTTTTCCTGTTAAACTTCAAATAGAACATTTAAAAAGAAAGTCGCTGCCGGGTATAACGTGATTGCCGCCCACGGAGGGATCACTGCAGAGATTGGCTGAGATCTGAACACCTCCATCCCTGCCCACACCCACTCGCCTCTTTATAAACAGCCTCCGGGAGGCAACGCGCAATTTTTAAATGTTAGCTGGCCTGACTGGACAGTTACTGGGTCGCTCTACCACCGAGGTTCTCCAGGCTTGTCCTGCATACTTTCTTTTTATTTTTTAATTGCACCCTTGCCATCATCTTTTCCCTGCGGTTTTTTAGTTGTTTTTAATTCACACCACGGTGTTTCATGAACGATGGCAGACTGGAAGTCCCAGATAACTTACAACTATAACCCTTCATACCATGCCTATGCCTACGGCCTCATGTACCAACCCGGGTCTGAGCAGAATCAGGGGAACCTTGGCACCTGGGGAGAACCTGGAGATGTGGGCAATTACAATCCTGGGGTAACACAGGCCTATTACTCCACCAGGACCCGGGAAGAGTCTCCGCCTCGCAGTCCAGAGGACCAGGTCGTGAACGGCCATTGTCACTACCAGGGTTCAGGGGTCGTGTACCTTGGAGACTCACAGACGAGCCGGCTAATCTTGGCCGGGCAACACCGGGCTGCCTACGATGTACGGGAACACGAAGCAAGGCGTGCCGGCTGCGATTCAACCAGTGACTCCGAAGCGCACACCTCACCAGGTGTTTTATCTTACACCGAGCTAGCACTGTCAACATTTCAGCTCAACTAACAGCAGAGATAGACTAACTTTTATTTAAGTTAGCGCGGACCATGGTTATTATAATCTTCTAAAACCTAAAATTATAATAGCATGTGTCGGTGCTTACATGTAGCTGGCTGCTAAAAAAGAGAAATTCATCCATCAGATTTGGCAACGGTTCCTTATCCGGTTCCATCTTGGTTGTGACAAAATTATCCCGCCAATTAATTTTCCAAATCCCGAGCGATCTCGCGATAGAATTTGGAATAAGGAAAACGCTGGCTTTCTGCTTTTTTTGGTGGGCTTTTAAAAAAATATAATTTTATTATTTAATTTAAATATTTTGAGTAATAATCTGGTCAATCTATGATCTGTAGCAACCAAAGACCTTGAGACTGACTGGAGGCCCGTTTTGTTTCCTCCTCACACAGATTCATGGAGTTCTAGCAGCAGAGAAGGAAGTCTTCCCCAGTCAGACCGGTCAGACCCCGTGGCTTGGGCAAAGAAAGAAGTTGATGATGAGACTAGCAGCAGAAGCCCTGATGCAAGTGAGGATATTTCCAGCTCTCTCATGGAGGAGTCAAGGACCTTTGTCATTAAAGAAAACCACAGCACCAACAACACTGCCTCTTTACATGCACCGATAGTCGCCGCCCCAAAGTGTCCAAGCACTAGTGCTACAAATACCCCTAAAGGAAAAGTCCGGGCAGCCTTCTCAGAGAGCCAGATGAATACTCTTGTTCAGCGCTTCAGTTTGCAGAGGTACCTTACCCCAGCTGAGATGAAGAACCTAGCAGAAATGACAGGTCTGACATACAAACAGGTGAGGGGTTACATTACATTTCATGCCCTTGCATATTTTTTTATATGTATGTGTGTGTAATGCAACTTAATCTGCTTGTTTTTAAGGTTAAGACATGGTTTCAGAATCGAAGAATGAAGTTAAGGAGGCACCAGAAGGACAACGGCTGGGCTTCAGAGCGCTACACCGCCAACAAGGAAAGCCCAGTACATGCACCCATCTTCCACAACATGCCTCCACATCTCCCACCTGTAAGTAGATACTATTAACCAGAATGTGACACAATTTGTAAGCTTGGTTTCCTATGTGCAATTTCATATTAAATATATTCATATTTTGGAGAAAATGTGGCATTTGAAATAGAAGTGTGGCAAAAACATGAATGTAACTGGATTAAGAGAAGTAAGTTATAAGAGGGATGCATACATTGTTTATATTCAGTGATAAGCAGGATCTGACCGTTGTGCTGCCCAGGTTTCCTGTTAATATAATGACAGAGAAACAGTGGCTGGTACATAGATCAACTCGTCTATATTGGAGGCCTAACCCTAGTCTGGTTCAGGCTTTAAAGGCAAGACGAAACACAATATCTAATGTAATGTGGGGCTTTCAATTGTCAGTATAAACCTAAGCTAGATTCTGAACCATGTCTGCCTGTCTTCCAGTATCAAGGAGAAGGCCGACCCCAGCTCAAGGAACATTACAATCAGCACATTATGGAAGCAGCATTCAAGAAGACTGCTCCCCAGAACCTGGCCTTCTATTTGGCTGCTATGAGCTCTACAGCTGGGTCTGCTGGCTACCCCTCCTGGTCCTCTGGCTCATCCCAGGCTGGAATGCCTACCAAGCCCCAGGGGACTGGCTGGTCCATGCCGCCGGGTGTTGGTCATTATGAATTCAACCACAGTGCATTCAACTCAGCCTCTGCAAATAACGCTGGACACGACACCAGCTTTGAAGGAAAAGATGGGGAGCCTGTCAATGTCCGCAGCTGCATCACATCAGCCATAGTGAAGAATGTCAGCCAGTAGTATAAGCTGATTGTGTGCATTTCTGTATATGTTACCCAACAGTCATGTTTATATTTTTCTATTCAAGTTTCCTGACTGCAGTTTGTAATTAGCTGAGGTGCCTTTTGTCAGGTTGGTTGTACATAGGCCTTGTTCATACTTCCTGTTTGACTTTTTATCTGAAGTTCTATTTTTATATTCAACTATTTAATGTATGTCAGTGTGCTCTTTGCGCTTGGTGATGCAAGATGTGTCCAAGTTACACGCATTCTTGTGTTGCGTTATTTTTTTAAAACTGTTTTAAGCCAGAGTACTGATACACATCTTATGTGCACACTGTTCCATGAATTTTTTTTGTATAATTACAGGTTCACTTCAACAACTGGAGTTTTTGCAAGTTTCTGGGTTTTACAGAAGGCATGATACTGTGGTAATATTCATTTATGCATCAACTTCATCCCAATTGTTCGAGGGATAAATTGTGTGACAATACATGGAAATCACTGATAAGGTTGTGGCAAAGTGAGAAACATTTTGCAATCAAGCAGTTAAGAGTATTGGTGCAGTTTGTCAAATTTGCAATAAACATAGCCAAAGGTTCTACTCAGAGTGCTGTTGTGTCATCAGTTATGTACATTTATATATACTATGCACTGTTTTCAGCTGATTGTAAATTATTAAATAAAGGAGGGGGGGTTATTAAAAAGCTTTTATTGAAAAGACTATATTTACATCAGAACCAAAATCACAGTAAATGGTGACCATAAAATCAAATGACAACATTGTGCCCATCACCAATATTTTGAACATCTGTTCAATCTACAAGGCATCATCTCGCTGCTGAACTGCACAAGGTGCAAGACTAGGCCAGTGCAAAGTCTTTATTACATTTTAAGAGTCTTAAGTCTAGAGTTTCTGGGAATACAACTGCAAGGTTTACTTCTGCACTGCTGCTTTAATAAATCAAAACTAAATCATTTGTCCAAAAGAGAAACAATGTAATGTGGGACTTACAGGATGTGTAGATCCAAGCCCAAATAAACCATAAAGTAAGAAATTTTGCAGGTAATGGCACACTTCAATCTACAGCAATGAGCTATGCATTCGTAACAGTTAACTCATTCACTCTTGATAGGACACAGTAATCCCTTTGAACTGAAATATAACGATTTATCCTTTAATACATGGTCCCCCTAAGATTACTCCTCTTTCGTCATCCAGACATTTATCCCTTATTCCAACAACAGCATGACTTGAATCATGTTAAAGACCCCTGCTTGTGTCCCCAGTACCCCAAGAGTAAGTGTGTGTTTTACAGAGCAAGAGGAGAGTATGCAGATTGTCCATGTGTGCAATCAGGATAAGTTTGTTTACATCCAGTCTGCACATTTTATGTCTAGTCCATCTTGAGGCTACGATAGATGTAGCGGATAAATGCCAGTGAGGACCAGAAGGACACACTGCCCAGCATCAGTGAGAAGACCATTGCTGTAAGCAGAGAATAGCCAAAGAACTCCGTGCTCTGCACTAAGCCGCTCATAGAGGACCGGTTCCGATAGTAGAAAACGGAGTACACGAAGATGAAGAGGCCAGTTGAGCCGGTGCTGAGCACGCTCCGCCACCACCACCTGTAGTCCTCGCCCGACAGTAGGAAGTAAGTGAGAGCGACAGAGATGCAGGCGCCAACTGAGAGTAGGATGGCAAAGACACACAGCAGGATGCCGTAGAGGGTGTAGTGCTCTCTGCCCCAAACGGTGGCAAAGATGTAGTAAAGCTCCACTGAGATGGCACTGAGGGAAAAAATGAAAGAAAATGACTAGTTAATCAACACATGTTTTCCCCTACGGGGTTAGAAATATGAAAAGCATTAATTGTTAAAGCTGATGTATCAGTAAAGAAGAAGCTAATGTGTCACTTTACATATATTTCCTAAATTAAATGAAATAATACAAAGGCTTAATTATAAAACACCAAATAAGTTTTTTTACACTGAATAATATTTAATTACAATTCTTGACATAAAACATAAATTGTAAGTATTCCTTCCAGTATTATCCTCTCATTTACTACCAAAAATGTTGTTTTGAAAAGTCAACACACTTTTTTTGCATACTGAGTGGTGAATTTAAACTTGGAAACTTTACTTTGTCCCCTTTAACTATGTATGCAGATACATAAAGTGTTACAGTATCTTCTCATGCTATCCCTCCTCTGCTTCATGTCTAAGAAGAGGAGGCACTTAATGCCTCTTCACCACACCTGACAACAGCTCACCTGAATGGCAGAAAGCCGCCGATTGCCATGTGCACAGCCGTGTGTTTGTACCAAGGCTGAGTGGGGATCTGTCGGGCTATGTTGCGAGTGCGGCAGGGCGCCTGAAAACTGCCGGCCCTGTTCTTTCCCACGATACCGCCAATGACGGTGAGTGGGAAGCCCACTAGCACCCAGGCACCCAGCAGAAGGAAGACGGTGGTGGCTGGCAGAGCCTGAGTGGAGCCGCTCCACCAGTGGATGGAGTTGACTACACTCCATGTCAGGAACAGTGGAGCTGTGGGAAAGAATAAAACATTCATTTTACTATTCCAGATTTTTTTATTTTTTTGAGAAATTCTGCTATAGAAAGTTGCAGAGCATGGGGAAACAAAATAACACAAGGCTATTTAACTAATTATTAACACCAGGAAGTTGTATGAGGCGGGTGGCAAAAAAATTCAAACAAAAATCTTAACTAGAAGGAAACTACTTCTGCAAAGTTTGAATGCTGAATGGCTGGGTCTGTCTCCCTTTAAATCTCCGCAGTGCGGGCCTTATCATCTACAAGTACTATATTATCTTGACCCTTGTCTTACAATGTTAAGGATAGTGTGATGACAAAATCAGACTCACCAGAGAAGAGTGACGATGTGAGGATGATGTTCCACACCCAGCGCTGGCCGTTGATCTGTGTGTAGAAGCTGCATGACACGTAGCCTGACACACAGCTGGTCAGAGCATACAGGACGATGGCTGCAGAGTTGATGGCACCATGTCGGTGCACATTGAACATTCCCAGCAATGCCATGAAGATTATTCCTATAAAATGGCAATGAAGTAACACATGAGTGATCAGACTTCTGTACATTTTACCTGCATGTATGAGCCATTATCAGGTTTCAAGTGTTACAGTCACTCTACTGTTAAAGGGATACTTCACCCATTTGCATTTAGCTTTGTATTATTAGAAACCTGGTAGTATTTTTAAATGGTTGCGCATCCCGCCCTCATTTTCCCCTGAGATGGGAAATCTTTGTATTTCTGACTCTGAAAAGGAGCTTCCAGTGACGCAAAATGACGATTTATTACAGCAACCGACAGGCCGGACGAATAGCTATATTGCTGTCGGCGGCGGTGAGGACGAGGAGCCCGGGCCGGCTTGAGCTGGGGTGGACTGGTAGAGTCGGTGCTCTCACTGTTTGCCTATGGACACAGACACAGAGTCTGTTTTCTGCCAGGAATTTCCAAGATACCAATTCCTTCTGGAAGAAATCTCTGAATCAGTTGAGGAAATGTCCTTATGTGTTGAGGTAAATATGTCTGTAAATGTTTTTATTACTATATTTCTACTGCTATACTGTATATTTTGGAGAAACTGTAACGATCGAATTTCCCTCTGGGATTAATAAAGTATTTCTGATTCTGATTTGGCCCTTAGTGGGAGTGGCCTGCGGTGCTGTGCTTTCTGGGATTTGGTGTCTTTCATCCACATGAGCCAAAAAGACACTTTCTGCATTTTCACGGCCAAGAAGGCACCAACTTCAAAATGTATTTCACATTTCCAATACATATATGACCCAATGTCAATACAGATTCATGTTTCAACGGGTGAAGTATCCCTTTAAGTAGTAAGAGTGTTGCTATGGGTCAGTGCTGCAAAGAAAATAAGTCCACTCAGTTTTCAAACTGGACAGTGAGAGCCTGAGACTGTTTTGGAATTCAACCCACCTCTATGTGTGTGTATGTGAGTGAACGTTCAGCTGTGTGTTACAAGTGACCAGTGCAGGGTCTACATTCACCTGTGGCCAGGGTAAGAAACTGAGCCCCCACTCCCAGCACGGCACACAGCAGGCTTTTGTAAGGAGGAAACCTGAAGACGTCGGTGTGTATGATCTTCCAGCCGTTGTCGCCCTGGTCGAGATCGTCACACCCCCCATCCTCCTCTACATTGTACCTAAAGGTGAGAGTAAAAATGGTTTTAGACAGGATGTTATGATGCCCCTGAGAAGCACAATTCTTCAGTTCAGATGCAGGTTGATCCGAATCAAGTCCAACCTTGAGACAATAGAGTGCACAAGGAAACAATATCCCAAAAAATGACGGCTTTGATACTCAACAAATGGTGTATTAATCGTACACTTAATTAGCTTAAACTATTTAAGGGGAACAAAGGGATGCTGTTTTTTTTAAACTGATAGTATATTGAGGTTTTTTTATCAGCCCTTTATTAAGTATAACTTTTCATACGGAAGGCAACTTTAGCTCACAAATAAGCACCTGTGCTTCAGTGACTTACCTGGCAAAGTCATTCTTGAGGACGCGCATGAGAATGATGATGACGAAGCCAAGCAGCAGCACCACCAGCACCAGCGAGTTGATGATGGACAGCCAGTGGATCTCCAGTGTTTTGGGGAAGAAGGAGTAGTCTCGGAGGCGCTCGGCTCTCCTGGCGTGAGTTAGAGGGGACTCAAACCAGCGCACACTGTATGTGTGAGTTACTGTTAGGCTGCCGCCACCCACTCCAACTCCACCCACCACTGCACCTGCCCCCTCCTCGAGAGGAACAGGTTTGACATCTTTGACGGAGACATTCGCAAAAATCACTGAGTCGCCATTGTACTCGATGTTGAAGTCTAAGTGAGTCCATAAGCCCACCTGTTGGAGACGAGAGAAGAGGGCAGAGAGGGAGAAAAAAGGGAAACAAACAAAAGAAAGAGAGAGGAGAAGAGGAGTGAGAGATAAGAAGTTTGACAGCAAGTGTGGCTCAACAGAAAGAGGATCTTTGCATAAAGATAAAGCCTTTAACAGACTTACACTGACTATGCATTTCCCCTTTTTTCTCCCACAAGCAATCCAATCTACTCCAAATGTCCAGTGAACCCTGAGAAGCACAAATGGTTTACCTTGTGGCTGTGAGGCAGGAAACCGCTCTCCTCTATGTATCCCACAAACCCCCAGATGGGAATGTCATCCAGGACAAATTCAAAGTAGAACAGCTCCTCAATAGCCTCACGGAGCTGGTCCACCTTCAACACAAAACAGGTCCTTGATCACACTGCATGTATTCAATGACCACAGCTTGTAATGCAGCCTGTATTTGAGGGATTTGTAGTCAGGGAGGAACCATAAAAGACGTTTTGTATCATCACTGAGCCTGCTGTTGGTGATTTAATATCTGAGATAAGCTCTGCCACAAAGATGATTTCTCCAGAAGCCAAACCGTATACGTCACACAAACAATGCTTAGCTGTGTCAAGACACACTGATTACAACAGATCCTGATCCTGGTACACATGGTAAGAGACACAAAGGCTGCTTATTTAACCAACAATTCATGACATCAAACTTCTTCTTAAATTATAAACAGTTCAAATCAAACATGAGCCCAGGCCCCAAACTTTTAGAACTTAACCCAAAATGTGTGTTAGAATATTCCACCAATTAGAACACGTCAATGTACCTGTTTCTCTGAAAGAGTGAGCTGGCAAACACTCCTTTTCTCTATGTTTTCTCTGAATCGGATGAGATATAACGATTCTGCCATCCTGTCACCATCCAACACTTCTCCCAGACTCAGGGACTTGTGATGCACCTGAAGGAAATGTGTTACAATATGAGTAACAGTGTGTAAAAGAAAGACATACACACAGCTTTAGCTGGTAATCATTCTGTGAAGGGGATATACTACACATACAGCTATCAGATAGCTAGAGAAGGCACACTGTGCAGCAGTCACACCACAACACAGTGGCTTGCAGCTTACTGCTGTTGCACAAAGCTCTGCTTTTACATCTGTCTGTGCACATTTGAAATGTGCGTGCCAGCAGTTTGCAGCACTGACGTACACGTTCACATTTTTTTTATTAAATCCCTATCAATGCTACTTCCTAAAACACTGACACACATGGCCGCAGACAAAAATAATGTCTTTCAGAGGACCTTCTTGGCCAAAAGGATATTTTATGGTGGACATTCAGATTTTTACAAGCAATGTTCTGACTTGGGTTTAATTTTCACGTAATGTAAGTGTTTTCATATAACATGACAAATGAATATCAAGTTCCACTGAGAATAACGGAGGCCCATTAATGTGCAGTGAAAGTGAATAAAAAGTCTGACCTTGTCTGGCCTGCAAACAGGCAGGGTGTAGTAGTGATATGTCTCCTGAGGGTTATGATAAGGCCCCACTTTGTTGACATAGAGAGTCACGTTGTCCCCCTGCTTGTAACCCACTGCCCAGCCTGAGAACAAGCACAGAAACAAGACGCAGTGCAGGCCCATCGTCCTCTGGCAGCCTCCTGGCAGGTGTCCTATTCCACGCTGCATAACCCCTGTAGCAATAAAATGGACAGTTCGTCAGAACATGAGGGATAGGAGTGATTTAAACTGCTCTGTCTGTCCTGACACTTAAAGTATGCCTCACATTTCAAGTCCAGAAGTGAGCTTAAGCCCATTCTGACCTGATTATTCATATGTCAAATGTATGAACTGGACACTGTTCCTCCAGAAAATTGAGGAACACTCTGAGAGAACGATGAGACACTGTTTTCATCATCACAACTCTGGTCACTTCAGGGAGTCTATTTTGACAGGACTGACTGTTTTTACTGTCAGTTATAAGTGTGTGAGTGTAGATGAAATATTGGTCAGAGATACTTTTTACTGAGTCAATTTTGTTTTCTATATTCACAATACTCACCGAATTCCCATCCATTTGAAAATGTTTGGTAATTATTATTACTATTTTTTACGATTCACACAAAACCAAGCACCTTCCTTGAGTAAGGGGGCTTCCAGTGACGTTGTTGCCATTTCTCTTTAGGGAGGGGATTAAACAGCAGCAAGTAGACACAGTTATCCCCTTACCAATGTCCTACCATGGTGTGTACTTAGAAGCAAAGCTACAGTCACACCCCGGTTGTAGAATTACTCTGCAAATGTATCAGCATAGCAGAATTTGTGAGATGCGTATATGTTGAAGTTTTAATCCAGTTGTCATTTCGATACAATATTGAGTGCTTACATTCTGTGATATCCATCATAGGCCTTGGTGTCCATTTAAACCTTTTAAGAAAGACTGAATGCTCTTTCATTTTGAAGGTGATATAAGGACATAGTGGGTATGTTGCCATGCATTGTAATACAGATTGAACTGGTTTCTGTTTGTAGAAGCTGATCACTATTGTCAGTGTGACTCCTTTAATGCCTCTACAGAGACACATGAGAGCTGCAGGTCTGCACTTCCTTCATGTGTGAGTATCAGGGCAGTCATTCAAACCTACTAACCAAGAACCCAGTTGGTTAATTGACATTTTTGACAGGATATCATGAAAAAAACAAAAAAAAAAAACACTATCGTATCTTTAACAAAATGAAAAGTTAGAGCAAGGTCAAAACAAAAAAGGGACACATTAGACTATTTGTCTTGCATCAAATGCGAAAGTAGACGTGAGCATGATGAGATTCCTAACCCACTTATTAAACACACAACTTGCTCCAACATTGCTGTATTTCCAACACCGTAAATTGCGTTTTCATTTCGACACCGACTTCAAGACAATCTTAAAGGCGAAATACAAAAGAGGAGTTAGAAAAACCTACACCACCGGTTCAAGTTGTGTCACAAGTGTCCCGATGCTTGCAGATCTCACGAAACCTGTCTGTGCAGCCGAATCCCCCGGACTCCCGGACTCCCAGGCCCCGACGGTCTCCTCTGCTCTCCGGTAAATATCTCCACTGAAGCTCACTGTAACCTTAAACACTCACGGCTTAACACCGTGAACATCCTCCATGCAGGCTACCAACGTACTATTCACCAATTGCGCTCATATTCGGGTACATACTGTACTTTTATTGACACATGCGAGAGTGTAGAAGAAGAAGGGGTCCGACTCCACGTCACCTTAAAAAATAAAAATAATGACGATTGGGTTTTACTTTTCCGGAGGGGGGCGGAGAAACAAAAAAAAAAAAATACACCTCCGACGTTATAGGTTATTCGTAGTGGGGCACTGTGGCGCCCTCACATGCTATTTGAAATACAAGTGGTTAAATGTCGTTAATCGGAAAACGCAACATTTAAACCGACGGAGCACCGACCAGAGAAACTCTATTATTTTTCTGTACGACCGGATTTCCTTCCACCTTCAATGAACCAATCAAATGCCTTTGCAGTACTTCCTCGTTTGCAGCCAGACATTTTTAATCGACGCCGCACGATTGATGAGCAGTTCTTCCATCAATTTGACCAGATGTGTGTGCCTAGATCGATTGGTGATGCCTGGTACTGGATTTCCCGCGAAAGAAACGCAATTTCTCGCGGTCGAGAGAAGCTGGGACAAGTGCACACATTCAGTATACACATTGGTGAGTACATGTAAACTTTATTTAACATGTAAAGTATTGTTAGACAACTATTACTACTCGCTTTTAGCATAAACACGGCGAATATATGTCTCGTTGTTGATGTTGTAGCCCCTTAACTAGCCGCACGTCTGCATCTTTAGCTTTCTGCGCCACAGTTAGCTTCTCACCGTGTTGTTTATATTGTGTCCATCTCTTACTGTAACCCCACATGTGTGCTAATTCTCACCACTACTGGTCATACAATTGGCGTGCACTTATTACACGTTGGGGATGCTTAAGCCTTTTCCATCCCTAAATGTTCTCCTTGTTTATGTTGTTGACATCAGGTACCTCTGACTCATTGTTCACAGACTTTGGTGTTTTCTGTCCAACACGATGGGAATACACGGACTCGCCAAGTTGATTGCGGATCAGGCCCCTGGAGCCATCAAAGAGCAAGACATCAAGAACTACTTTGGTAATTGTTACAAGTCTCCACCCTCCACAGGTTGATTATTAATTAGGCCTGTAGACTTACTAGTCTGGTTTCTTGATGTCTAATGGATCAACATTCAGTATCTATGGATATTAAGCACACTCAAAAGTAAATGTGATTACCAGACAAAACTATGAGCGGATCAGAGAAATATTTTCAAAATGAAGCAATTTGTGTTTATTCTCTGTAACACATAGATGTCCAGCTCTTTCAACTGTGATTTCCCCTGTCATTATTTTAATAATTATTGTCATTTTGTCAACGTATGCAGGCAGGAAGATTGCCATAGATGCCTCCATGTGTATGTACCAGTTCCTGATAGCTGTGCGACAGGACGGGAATGTTCTTCAGAACGAGGACGGAGAGACGACGAGGTACAACTAACAAAATCCAGACGCTCTGAAACTCAGACTATTGAGGACACAATAGATATGCATTAGATATTGGATTGATCCGAGAGTCTGAAATATTTCCGGCAACTCATTTTTTTGTCTTTTTAGCCACCTGATGGGAATGTTCTACCGGACAATCCGCATGCTGGAACATGGCATTAAACCTGTTTATGTGTTTGACGGCAAGCCCCCACAGCTCAAGTCAGCAGAGGTTAGTGTGGCCTCTGACTTCTGGTGCTTTGCTTCCTGTCTCCTGTTGTTGTGGAAGTGACAGTCAGATATGGCTTGTATATTTATTTTTAATGGCTTCATAGTTTGGCTTTTGTTTGCTTGTCAGTTACAACAGCGTGGTCAGATCTGTGACTGTTTGCATTTCAACAAAATCTCACAGAACAATTAATTATGATTTGTGTTTTGTAACCCTCGTCATCATCTGTCTCTTGATCCTCATTTCTCTTCTGCTTTTCTACTTTTCCATAAACCCCCAGCTGGAAAAGAGAGGGGAGAAGAGGGCAGAAGCTGAGAAGATGCTTGCTCAAGCACAGGAAATGGGTAAAGTTATTACATTTTTAGTACTTTATGTAGCAAAAGTCAAGCATGGTGCCAGTATACCTTTACTCTGTTTTTTTTTAATTGTAATTCAGTCTCTCATTGCACAATAAGAAACACTCACTGACTCTGATGCTAAGTCAGAGTCAGTGAGTGTTTTTGGTTTATTGAGTTTAATTTCATGAAACATATTCAGAGATGATTCTTTATTAAAATGTCTTCAACAACATTTTATTTCTGTCCAGGAGAACAAGAGAACATTGAAAAATTCACCAAGCGTCTGGTCAAAGTCACCAAGCAGCATAATGACGAGTGCAAGAAGCTGCTGAGCCTGATGGGAGTGCCTTACATTGAGGTCAGAGCAGCTCATACTTTGCTAGAACTCTCGCTGGCTAATGATATGTCCTGATCAGTATGCTTTTTTTTCTTCATACAATTTGTTTTTTCTGGATCCAGTTCTGTGCAATTTGTCAGACAAGACCCTAAAAGAAAGAACATGAAATGTTTACACTTAAACAGTAGGTTCTGTTTTTAATATTTCACCAAATGGAACGCATGCATCTCAACAATAGGAATAGGAATGAAACCTTTTCCTTAAGTCCCACAGGATTTTCTTTACCCTCAGTCAACATGAAGGAATAAAGAAGTCAATTAAAATGAAATGTTCATTGAGATGCCCCCTGCTCTGTTGTCTGCCAACTAAAGCATGCATGAGAGATAAACTACAAGAGCAGGTCTGACTGCATAATTATGCAGCTTGTAATCGTATGTGTTGTGTTTTGTAGGCTCCATGTGAGGCTGAGGCCAGCTGTGCAGCTCTGGTTAAAGCAGGGAAGGTCTTTGCTACGGCAACAGAAGACATGGACGGGCTGACCTTCGGGACAAATGTTCTCCTCAGACACCTAACGGCCAGTGAAGCAAAGTAATGTTGCACCTGCTTCAGCTTTTTTGTCTCTTTAGCAGACATGTTCAGAAAATGGATTTAATTGTCCTGTTCTATTTCTGACACAGCCTTTGATGTAATGCACACATTTCATTGTTGTAATTGATAAGTACACAATTCAAATTGGTGTCACTTTATCGTCACTTCATTACCCCTGTTTCATGTTGTACAAACATTTGGTCATCACAGTTCACACGTTTGATTTTTTTTCTCATAATCTCTGAATAATTCAGGAAAGATATACCAAATGTACTGCCGCCATAAAATCTTACATGACGGTTGTAAGGTCCACCACACTCTTCTCTGTTTAATGAAAGTAATGATCAAATGGTTTGCAGTGTTGTTTGTGTCTTTAAAACATGAACGTGCTGTCAAAAGGCATGTATGTATTTCATTATTCACTTGATAATACATCAAGATATTTTATTTGTTCTAGGAAACTTCCTATCCAAGAGTTTCACTTCAGTCGCATGCTGCAGGATATCGGTCTGACCAATGAACAGGTAAAGTTCTGTGTCATTTTGAAAAAGGTCAAGCAGGGGCGCAGATAGCCTTGCGGGTTGTGTTGTATGCTCCATGTTTGGAGGCTGTAGTCCTCGTCGCTGCGGCTGTGGGTTCATGTCCGACCTCGGCCTTATGCTGTATGTTGTGATCTCTCTCCCTCCTCCCAAAATGTCCTTTCCCTCTTCAGCTGTCCTGTTCAATAAAGGCAAAAAAAATAACTTGGAAAATAAAGAAAGAAACAGTGTACACTAACAGTGTAGTGTGAGCATAACTGGTAATAACACTCTGCTGGTTATTAGACCTGTATGTGCTTTGGTGCTGTGAACACTGTTTCAAAGGTACATCAGGTGAGGGATATTTCAGTCTTTCCATCAACCCTTATCCTGTGTTCTCTCCCAGTTTATAGACCTATGTATTCTGCTGGGCTGTGACTACTGTGCCACCATTAAGGGAATCGGCCCGAAGAGAGCCATCGACCTGATCAAACAGCACGGAACCATCGAGGAAATCCTAGAAAACATAGACCCCAAAGTAAGTAGATGTCCGCGACAATCCAGAAGCACATGCAGGGAGACGGATGATGTTCAGTTCTGAGTCTTTGTTTGTGTCTCGCTCTCCTTCATGTAGAAGCACCCTGCCCCAGAGGACTGGCTGTACAAAGAGGCCAGGGGGTTATTTTTGAAGCCAGAAGTGGTCGATTGTTCTACGTTGGAGTTGAAGTGGGGTGAGCCGGATGAGGAAGGACTTATCCAGTTCATGTGTAGTGAGAAACAGTTCAGGTAAATAATCAGCAGACTTTCCTAAGTACTGTGCGGCATTTTTGGTTATTCACTTCAATGCAAATCAAACAGCTCAGACACAAACACGGCTGGCAGCTCGAGCTTCTCACTCATTGTAGACAGTCTTGACTCAGACAGACATTTACAGAGGATAAACTGGATTTCTGATTTATTTATTTGTCAAATCTCGCACATTCCTCCTTTAAATCTCTTTGTCACCCATCGATTGTCTTGATCAGAAGTTGATTCTTTGGTTTTAGATGGACTAGATTTAGATTATTGACTTGGTTGCTTCTGGAGTTTTCTGGCCTAAATAATTGAGGATGCCACTGGCCAGGATTATCTGTTATACAACATTTGACCACTAGGCGACACTGCTGGCCAGCCAGAGTTTATGGTCGCAGCGTCAATTTAGCAGAAAACTTTCTACTTATGATTTGAGGTTTACAAAAACTCCAGCATCTGTTCATGTTAGACTGTTCACAACTAACATTTGCCCTAAATGTTTCTACCACTATATTTGACTGAAGGATCCTCTGTATGGACACTTGTTCTCTAAATATAGCTGTCTTAAAGTTAAAATTTGAATAACCAGTTGATTGTTCAGCTGAGATCAAATTCTGCACAGAACTGAACTTTTTCATTGATGTTAATGAATGTTTTGGTCATCCTATTGCAGTGAGGAGAGGATGCGTAACGGCTGTAAGAAGATTGTAAAGAGCCGTCAGGGCAGCACACAAGGACGACTGGACTCTTTCTTCTCCGTCACTGGATCTCTGTCCTCCAAACGAAAGGTACATAAAGACATGCAGTGTGAAAAGTCCAACTGGCTTTTAAAATGTTGCATTATTGGAATATCTGATTGTTGGACTCGTTTGATCCATTTTCCTTCCTTGTGCAGGAACCTGAGGTTAAAGGATCGGCAAAAAAGAAGCAGAAGACTGGAGCCACGCCAGGCAAATTCAGGAAAGGAAAATAGATCGATCCCAGAGCTCGATCGGCTCCTTTAAAAAGTGATGTTTGTTAAATGAACCACAAACTAGATAAAGAGTAAAGAAGAAAACATCGAGCTCCCAGTGTGAGAAGAGGAAGCTGCTGCCCATTTACACAACGTGAGGTTGTGTTTAATGATTTGTCTAGATTTACAACTCGATTTACATGGCCACATATGATGTTAAAAAGAAAAGCAAGTCTGTTTTAACAAGTGTTAAAGGGTTTAGAAATGTGTTGTTTCTGTTACAGAATAAAAAAAATCATTATCTGTAGAACCATTTGTAGCCTTTTGATTTTCTCATTTGGGGTCCTCTATAGAAAGTCTTTGTGTGCATGGTTAAGAAGCAGAATCCAACACGTGATTTTTCTGCTAGTGTTTGGTTTAAAGTTTGCGTTATAAATATGATGTGTTCAGTCTGCAAACTTTGTTGGGGTATGGAGTTTAGCAGCCTGTTTTCTAGCTGACTGACACAGAGCTTGTGAGGACTATAATGCTGCATTCAGGTGCTCCTTGGATGGTCCCATTTTCCTAGTTGGGAAGTCGTTAATCCGACTATAGCGTGTTCACATGCTCTGTAAATATTTAATACAGATTCATGTTAATATTGAATATAATGCTCTGATCAAAAGTGAGAAAGCCGGGTATGCTCGGTACTACAGCAGACCAGACAGAATGGAGACTTTACGATGCACAGCTACCGTCATCGTCAGGTCACTTGTTGCTCAAAAATATTAAGATGGAGAAACGCAAAACTAAAAAATCTATTGGCTAGAATGGGGATCATTAAGCAATGATGACATGTTGGCTATACGTCCACTTCTTTTTTTTCCTTTCAAAGATTTTTTTTTTTTTTTTTTTTTATGCCTTTATTTTACAGATAGGACAGTGGATGGAGTCAGACAGGGAGAGATGGGCCTGGACCTCACGCTCTCGATATTTTTGGCCTCTGCATGGATTGTGCGCATTAACCGTTAAGCTACCGGTTCCCCTGTCCACTTCTTTTTAACAAGTACATGATGCTTAGGGGTTTACAGCTGTTTCTAGAACAAACTACTTCAAAACAGACCCTCAGTCAGTGTTAATGGTTAGAAAACATTCCACATAACTACCATTGTGCATTTATTCAATATTTAATACAAATCTAATAAATACACATCATATGACATAAATTTGTTTATAACTATTTGTACTGACTGCACTGATTAGATGAGCTAAACAGGTTTTTTAGTTGTCAGTCTACATGGAGGAACAGGAAACGTGGTGAAACTAAATAAAACTCTTATAGGTTATTTAAAGAATCAAGCCACATGGGCAGATTTTTTTAGCAGCTCATCACAACATTTCTCAGTATCTAGCTGTATGTCATGTGACATAAGTGACACATAAGTTCATCATAATGGTCATTATTATGACAGTGATGTATTTGAAGTTTTGCAAGCTAAACTGGTTATTTGGGAAGAAGTGAGGTTGTATATCTTTTTTTTAATGATGAAATGTGATCAGTAGCCCTCCGTAAATTCACAGCTTGTCCTAATAGCTGACCACTGTACCGGGATCAGAGAGCAAATCCTCATCTAAGAATACATTTAGTCATGTTTGTATATTTCTGTATGCAGGCTTTCTCGGTTGTTCATTTGCAGCTCACAGAAGAATCAACAAAAAAAGAAGGCATTGACATTGAAACATTTACTAATAGAAAACACATTGCACATTGTGCTGCAGGTGATGTGTAAGGGAGTATTTACCTTTTTTGGTATGCTGGATATTATTTTAAAAACAGTTTTACAACACAATCTGGATTTCCTGTGTACCCTCTGAAACAGGAAATCTGCTCTGCATAAACAGCAGATAAAAAGGGAAGTCCTAATTAAAGAAGTACTTCAGCTGAAATTTATAAACCACCACCCATAAACTTCTGAACATCTCTGCGATGAAAGTGGACTCATCTGGTAAGCGCTTTTTACTGGTTTTATTGCTTAGATTACATTTTTTTGGTTACTATTCACTCAACAAAAAAACAAGAACACGATCCAAAAGGGAAAAAGAGTATAACTCAGCTAAGAAACCAGAGGTCTCAAAATAAGTATTTAAATATGTATTTCAATTCAAGAGTGTTTTCATTTTGAATTCATTTTGTACATCTTAATATATCAATTGATTACTAAAAATGAATGCAGTCAAATAGGAGACACTCTCCCTTATTTAACTAACATTCTTTGTGGTTAAATGTATCTAGGTGAAGAAGGGGAAAGAAATCCTGTTCCTATTGGCTGTTGGAAGATGTTGACAGCCAGCATGTTAGTGAGTGTCCTCTTCCTCAGAGGTGAGAGCGTGTTCAGTCTCTTTTACTTAAGAGACATATCTCCCTGATTTACAGTTTAAACTCATTCTTGTGCAGATAGTGCTGACAATCTTTACATCCTGATAAGATAAGATAACACGTTATTGTCCGTTTGCACTGAAATTTGTCTTGCATTACAAGCTCAAAAATGCTCGCATCCCAATCAAATCACATCACACTCAAAAGACAGAAACAACTTAAGTTACATTTAAAATCACAATGTGGTGATGATCTATACATACATTTGTAGCAGCACAGGGAAAAATAAGCGGCAACCTCCAAGTCTTGAAAAATTAAGCTAATGCGTGTGCATAATCCTAAACTGCATCCTCTTTGATTTTGATGACGATACGTGTAATCCGTAGTTAGGTGCGTAGCTGACATTATTTACAGGTGGGCAAGATGTAACGGTTTGTCAAGAGGCTTAAAACCCGCCTCAGTTCCAGCTCTCAGTCTGTCGTTAGGTTGACTCAAAGTCAGTCTGAGACAGGAATTCCAGCATGGAGGCTGCTGCCGATGAGCCTCGAGAACCCCCTGCCGTGACAGATGGCTGATGTCACTCAGGCTTCATCCATTAACATTTACAGTCTATGGAGAGAACAGATGCAACAACCTGCTGCTGATTAATAATACAAAATAAAGAATTTCATTTGTAACATACTTTACATTTCAAACAAATCTCAAAGGTCAAAGTGTTACACATGCCTTTCTAGTCAAATAAATCTACATGTTATTACTAATGAGTCTGTTTTCAGGTGCACTGGCAGCTTGTGTTTTTGATACAGACCTCTTCATCACGACACCACAGAAGGTGGAGGCACTGAGTGGATCTTGTGTGCAGATCCCCTGTATATTTAGCACCAAATCAGAGTTTGACAGCAGTGTAAAAATCTCTGGAGTGTGGATTAAAAGTGACCCCAGATTTGGCATGTTTCCAAACAATGTGGTTTTCAACAGCAGCAGCCAGACATTGAACAGCTACAGGATGAATATTACTGGAAATCTGAGTCAGAAAAACTGCACCACCCTGTTTTCAAATGTAAACGAGAATTACACTGAGAGATACTTCTTCAGAATAGAGAGCAAACCCTTCAAAGCAACGACTTATTGTGATCCTCTTCGAGTTACAGTTAAAGGTAATGTTTTTTATTTGTATCTTTTTAATGTCAATTAAAATCAGGAGAAATCACCTGAGAAATCAGGTAAAGTTCTGAGTCAAAAAGAAAGCTGATCCTGAGTGTGTTTCTAAACCACAGATTCTCCTCCGAGCCCCAAACTAATCATCTCAGGAGATCTGAAGGAGAAGGAGTCTGTCACTATAACCTGCTCAGCTTCCACTCCCTGTCCACTCTCCCCTCCTAAACTCACCTGGAATCTCAAACAAGACTCTCTCAACAACATGGAGGAAAACCCAGATAAAACCTTCACGACTAAAATCCAGGAGCAGATCACTCTGACGGACAAACATGATGGATACAACATCACCTGTTCTGCCACATATCCTGTGAATGAAGGAAAAGAAGTCAAGACAGCAGAGGAGACACAGACTCTCAGAGTTTCATGTGAGACTTGATCTCATTTGTTTTGTTTTTTGAAGAATGAAGCAGGGACAGTTAGGTTTTTTTCTAAGAGCTTCCTCTTTGCATAATGGCTTGCTGCAATTTTCTTGAGCATGGTAAAATACTTCTGCACAGCAAAATGAGCCTGAACTTTGCAGATCTTTGAAAATCTTGCTGTTTCAGTGAAAACGACTTATCTCACATGTCTAACCTCTACAAATGTCACTCCAATATGTCTCCAAATCTTGCAGACTCTCCCAAGGACACCTCAGTGATCGTCAGTCCCACTGATGCAGTGACAGTTGGCAGCATGGTGAACCTGACTTGCTCCTGCAGAGCAAACCCTCCTGTCGTCCACTTTGTCTGGTTCATGATCAGTAATGGCAGACTGGAGCTGATTAAAGTAGATACACAGGTTTATGGCCTTAATGTGACCAATAGTGATCCAGGCAGATTGTTCTTCTGTGGATGCAGAAACGATCTGGACATTCAACTATCAACAGGACATCAGCTGATATTTGAAGGTAGAGTGGAAATGATTTCCTGATGTTTTAGTGGTCAAATCTTCTAGAAATCAACGAGTGACACTGCTGCTGTGTTACAGGTGATCAACTGAACGAACATGTTGGCATTCAAGTTGTTATGAAAATCCTGGGAATCCTTATGCTCGTCAGTACGATGGTCATCTTTGAGTGGTGAGAAGAAACTTTCTGTGATGTAGCCGTATCAGCAACAGATGAATTGGTGATTTTCAGCGTGGTTGTATTAGAACTGTAGGGCACGGACCATTCTTCAGCTTTCTTATATATTTTATTTTTCAGTTGGTTTCGATCAAAAGGTTCCATCAAACCCAGAAAGGTAAGCTGCCAGATAAGGAGAGGTAGACTTCCACTTTATTGTTCCAAATGGGAAATTCTTCTTCATATGCTCTCTACAGGTTTGACAACAATCGACAGCACAGAGAAAAGCAACAGTGTACATTAAAGCTTTTAAAGCTCATTATAATTATTATTATTATCCTCTTTCTGCTCCTTCAGATTACTGACATCACTTACCACTTTCTCTTGTTATTTTATTCACAGGACAAAGAGGAAGCAGTCTACAGCAACAATTTGGCGGAGTTGACCTAACCAGCACAACCAATTAGATAAACCCTAAACATAGACTTTGAATTTACTGTGTAATATATGTAGGGGATAATGCCAGACGAGGTGTCGGTTATCAGTTTTGTAGACAATAGAGGCCACATTTAGTTCTTGCTGAACTAAAAACCTGATAATAGACACTTAAAAGGGCATTATTCCACATATTCTGTTATTACATACTGAAGAATATAAGACCGTAATGTATTGTTTTCATGTGTTTCACATCGATATATAAATCTTTGAGCAAAACATAACTCAGTTTCCCTGTTTTTTTTGTTTTTTGTCTTTAATTTTGTAAACTTTATTAATCCTGAGGGTAAATTCTGGCTTACAGTGTTATTTTAGAGACATGCTTGTCACACACATAGGCCCCAATCACACACATGCACAAACGGGACCTGTGGACATGCATTAGTGGAGAGATGTCAGAGTGACTGACACTGCCATGCAGGGAGCTCAGCAGAGCGGTTGGGGGTTCGGTGCCTTGCTCAAGGGCACCTCGGCAGTGCTCGGGAAGTGCTCTGGCACCTCTCCAGTTAACAGACCAACTTCTAAAAATGGGTAAATAGGCTTGGTCTTATTTGAAGTCCTTTTTACGTAAATATATATTTTTAAAAAAGAATTTTCTTATGTAGCTCTGCCATTACACCACATTTATACATTTACACTGAATCATACAATGCCATCACTTCCTTTACCTGAGTGTGATTTTTACGGACTTGCAGAGGCAAAAGAGGCAAGACATGTAAACACACAAAGGCACAACAGAGACAAAGCAGCGTCTTTAGCTCCTTTTACACAGCTTGTTCAAGGTGGTACTGTTAGACCTCTGTTACTCCTGACTGACTGTATGAGGAAAAGTTATAAAGGCTGACCGGTGAGGCAAAGTATATCTGCCACTGAGTCAGAAGAATAGAGTGCAGTGTGTGTGAACGAGGGCGCGTCGACACTGTTCAGCGATGTAGTCTCTTTTTTTTAGGTTTATTTTTGTTCTTTTTAGGCCTTCGTTTATTAGGACAGTGGATGGAGTAATAAATCAGAGAGAGAGAGAGCGAATGGGGAGTGACATGCGGGAAAGGAGCCACAGGTTGGAATCAGAATCTAACCGGCACACTAACCACTGAGATACCGGCACCCCCTCAGTGGTGGAGTCTTTGATTAATGAAGACAAATAGACTGGGAGTAGTAACAGAGACATAACCATCCTGTGTGGATCAGGTGGTGTGAAAGGGGATAGGAGATGTTTCAAACAGCAGACCCTTGAGTTAAAAGAAGAAGCCAAAGCAGAAGTTAAAAAAAAAAAAAAACTGTATTTCCTGGAGTGTATAGCGATGTCAAGGTTGAAGAAATGTGTCTCGGATACTGGGAAATTGCTGCACAGACAATACATGCAACAACTCGAAACAGTTGTGCAAAACATAAGCTTATCCCTACTACAAATTACCCTTAGCATCTGCTTAACTATCGGCACACACACACACACACACACACACACACACACACACACACACACACACACACACACACACACACACACACACACACACTCCTAAAATCACAAGCGCATGCAGACTTTGCTCATGTACACCTGCCGCTCAAAACACATGTTTCACAAATCTACATGGCTACAGTTACCGGGACCTTGGGGGCCTCCTCGAGGTCAGGTATCTTAGTTTATTCAGAGAATGTGATCGTTAAAAAGTGTGTGTGTGTGTGTGTGAAAATGTTCTTTATTGTTGGAGTAAAATAAATCACAAAGGTTGGTGTAAATCTGTGCTGTGGACAAAGTTAATAAAAAGGATGACTTTCTGTCTGAGACCTAGACGAGTATCTGTCATAAACACATTTCTCATCAGCTTACATTACTGAGGAAGAGGTCACTGTACTTTCAGGGATTTTCTCCATTAGGCATTAGATACATTATACTCTGATTATTCAAACTTCAAGCCCCCCTACTCTGTCTTTGACCTAATAAAGATGAATCGCATGAATGAGTTGATTCTGATCAACAATCCTGTGAGGTTGAACTAACCAATGGAACCATAAAGATTTGAATATGTCGTAATATCTGACTTCCTTGCTTACAGGATATGAGCTGTAAACCAACGCTGCCTGTGTTATTTTGGAATAAGAGGTCATGTGATATGTAATGGCAGAAAGACAAAAAAAGGCAGATTAGTGCTGTCTTTAAACAGCAAGTCCTCTTTAAGAGAGGTGAGTGGGTTTATTCTAATCCTGCTAAAAATTAAGAAACTGTTTTAGTAAATGAATCTCCTCTATTCTCTGTGTTTGTTTGTTTGAGGAGGAAACATTGAGCTACTTAGTGGTTTATTAAAACTCCAATGTAGTTTTTTGACAAGAATTTTATTCTCTTTTTTAGTTTGTTTTAATTAAAATAAATGTAACCTCAGTATGATTTCTATAGTTACATACAGGCATGCTTATTGTGAAGAAAAACTAACTGTGATCTTACAGTGTAAGTTTTGAGTCTAAATGTTGAGAAGAGAAGTTGCTTTAAATAGGACGACTTCTTTGTTAAAACGTCATAAACTTTATGAAAAGTGGTGAAAAGTGAAAGCGTTATTGTATTTGAAAATCCAGGGAGCACGGTTCTGTCTGTGAACATGGTGATTGCCAAATTCTTACTGAGTGTCCTCTTTGTTTCAGGTAAGCTGTTTGTTTGTTTCCATTCTCTTCATTTGAAATCAGAGTCTCTTAATTCAAATTATTCATGTGTCGACTATAAATCAATTCTTTAAACTATAATTATTTTCTTAATTTTCCTTTGTTCATCATGATCTTATAGGCGCTTGTGCTACTTGTGTTGTAACACCAAGCCTTGGTATTACAGCACCACAGAAGGTGGAGGCACTGAGTGGATCTTGTGTGCAGATCCCCTGTATCTTTAGCACCAAATCAGAGTTTGACAGCAGTGTAAAAATCTTTGGAGTGTGGATTAAAAGGACCCCAGATTTGGCATGTTTCCAAACAATGTGGTTTTCAACAGCAGCAGCCAGACATTGAACAGCTACAGAATGAATATTACTGGAAATCTGAGTCAGAAAAACTGCACCACCCTGTTTTCAAATGTAAACGAGAATTACACTGAGAGCTACTTCTTCAGAATAGAGAGCAAACCCTTCAAAGCAACAGCACCCTGTGATCCTCTTCGAGTTACAGTTAAAGGTAAGCTTCTTTTTTTATGACTTGCTTCAAACAGTTGATGCAGCTTTTAGGTTAACAACAAGTTCCACAGCCAAAATGTGACAGTAAACAGTCGTGACTAAACATTAAAACAATGACGTCAAACTGTAAAAAACACACGATGAAGGGGTTTAAAAAACAGGAACTCTCATGTGGGAACTTTCTGGGTCACTGCTCAGCGATGAGTTCAAAATCGACACAAGTTTTGTCCTATGTTGAGTCCTCTCCATACTGATGAAGCTGGATTTTTTATTAAAGTCTGACAGTGAAAGGGTTAATGTTCAATAATACAAACTGTACAGTAACATACTGTAATGTTTAAAATGTGCTTAATTTGAAAACACCCCCTATTTAATATTTGTTTATATGAATATTTTTACCAATACAAGGTGTGTTTCTCATCCACAGATTCTCCCCCGAGCCCCAGATTTAAGATCTCAGGAGATCTGAAGGAGAAGGAGTCTGTGACTATAACCTGCTCAGCTTCCACTCCCTGTCCACTCTCCCCTCCTAAACTCACCTGGACTCTCAAACAAGACTCTCTCAACAACATGGAGGAAAACCCAGATAAAACCTTCATGACTAAAATCCAGGAGCAGATCACTCTGACGGACAAACATGATGGATACAACATCACCTGTTCTGCCACATATCCTGTGAATGAAGGAAAAGAAGTCAAGACAGCAGAGGAGACAAGACTCTCAGAGTTTCATGTGAGACAACCAGAGATTGTTATTGGATCCTGTCAGAATGAGATGATTTTAAAGATGTTTGCTGTTTTTAATGAAATACAATTATCTAACATTTTCCTCAGATTCTCCTAAAAACACCTCAGCGTCCATCAGTCCATCAGGTTTGGTGTCAGCAGGTATTCGTGTGAACCTGACCTGCTCTAGCAGAGCCAATCCTCCTGTCAGCAGCTTCACCTGGTTCAAGATCAGCAGAGATGGACCCATGATCGTATCTGAAGGAGAGTTTTACAGCTTTAATGCCACAGAGGGAGGAGTTTATTACTGTGTGGCCAGGAATGATCTCAGTAATCAGACATCACCACAGATCCATTTGAATATAAAAGGTAAACACCTTTTAAAAAAAAAAAATTATTAGATAGGGATGTTTCAAACAATACCGCACTAAGAAGTTTTGTCAGTTGTTTATGAAACTTTGGAAATTTGAGCTCAGGCATGGTTCTGCAAAAAGAAAGGGAAGTAGAAATAAAGAGATTGGAAACGTGAGAATGAAAATAGACAAGATAGAGAGAGGGAAGGAGAGAACATGTATAAGGAAAAGGAAGAAGAAGTGATCATTGTCTATACATAAATCTAGAAAACATAGACTAAAAACTAAATTCCACACAATGTCTGCATACAGTTGTGACATAAACATCAATAAGCATTTGTGTTTCTGTTGTGATTTCTTTTGGAAATACTGCACAGCTGGTTGAAAGCCATAAGTCTTATTAATCCATCTTTTCTCTACTGGAAACAAGTGGGTCACTCTTCAGCATGGTGGACAGGTGTTGGAGCGATGATTGGGATCATGGGTCTCATCAGTGTGAGCGTACTGATTTGGTAAGCATCTAAAATAAATTTCACATCAGCATTATTAATTGATTATATTTTACTGTTGTTAATAAAACAGTGCTTCATATCAGTATCACTATTTGAATTATGCTCAAAGTTATTCAGCTGACAGTTTTTATATTTCTTCCAGGAGGTTGAAGTCAAAACGTTCAGCTTTCCAACAGACACAGGTAGGAAACATATTTCAATGTGTCTCATGAGTTTGTTCATAACTTAACCATTCTACCCATTAATAGTGACTGCAATAAACTGACAGCCCCTTTAATAAGTTCCTCATTAGTGAGTGTAAATGCAGAAACACAGCACATGTGAATAAACATCCTGTTAACTCACACGAACAATCCACTTCGTCATCCAGTAGCATGCCATAATTCAGATGCATTTTCAAGTCTTGACACATCAAGATTTTTCATTCATTGCTGTGTCCCATCAAAGCAGATTATTCAGATAAGTGTCCGTTTGTATAAGCTGGTAGATTTGAGCGAGAGATGGCGTGAGGTTCACTCTTAACTACAACAATATTTACATTTTCTTTAACAGAGCCTGACAGCTGCAGCACCAGCTACACAAGAAGCCGGGCACGAACAAGCCAGAGCATCAGAAGTAGAGGAACTACATTATGGAGAGATCGACTTCTCCAAGATGAAACCTAAAGTGTCCTCTAACTCAACGCAGGACAGTGGACAGCAGCAGGAGACTCTGTATGCACAGGTCAACGTCTCTAAGCCAGTAACCAGCTTCACACAGGCTGCTGCTGGCCCACATGATCTCTATGCTCAAGTGAAGAGAAAATGAAGACGTGCACGGACATCTTTTATTTAACAAAACATATTTACTGTTACAGATGAACTTTTGCTTGGCTGCCTGTGGTTCATTAAATGGTATTGAACCTGTAACACATTGTATCTTTTTATGGATCAATAAATGGTGTGTACATATTTCAAAATGAGCTTCTCCACACTCTGCTGATTTCTTCACATGCATCACATGAATTTAATGAGTTGTTTGTGGCTTAAACAAAGATAGTCAGTCAATCCATTTTTATTTGTATCGCGCCACTTCCGAACAAATGTTATCGACACTTCACAAAACGCTGAGGCCTTTAGCGTCATCATAATTATATCACAGTCTTTACAGAAGTTCAGTCATTGTCTCTGTTTCTGCATTTGTTTCTACACTCAAATGACTGATCACTGATATTCATACCCAACTCAATATGAGTGTGTAGTTAAGTCGATCGCACCATGCAAGCACAACAGGTAAAAAAAGGAAGTCTATATGAAGAACATACAAACTATAACAAGTGAATTATAAAAGAGACATTAGCACATTTGATGTATCATACTTGGTTGAACTCTAAATGGCCCGTAGGTGTGACTGTGACTGGTTGTTAAAGGTCATAATGTCAGCCCTGTGATTGACTGGCGACCAGGCCAGGGTATGCCCCACCTCACGCGCAATGACAGCTGGGATTGGCTCAAGCCATTGTTTATCTTATACGTGAAGAGCGCTATGGATAATGGATGGATGGATATTTGGTTGAGCTCACAGCCTCCCTCTTCTGTGTGTCTAAAAACATATTATCTGTCAATTTGAACTTTTATCTTGAAGTTAGCTGATTAACAAAAACAAAAATCTGGAATTCAAGAAGTAAAAAATTAAGTAAAATTCTTATTTTAAAACTAATCTAACTTCTGTATTGTTTATCTTATCCAATAGTGCAGTACTGCAGTACAGGAGCCAGATGTTGTCACTACCTGCTACAAACTCACATGTACATTTTTAAGATTGAATTACCTTTAAGATATGAACATGATGTCTAAAAACACTCAATAACCAATATTTCTGAATGCCTGTAAAGTCACAGTATAAAGTTGTAAGGTCTCAAGGCAGTCCTTACAAGGTTCAGGGAGGAATAAACTTTAATAGGGCCCAAATGCAGATTTCAGAGGGGCTTGTGTTGCCATCGAAACAGAAAGTGGCAGAAACATATATAAAGCCATAGGAGATCTTTTGATGTGGCCAGGCTGTGCACCTGTAAGGAGGGACAACAAGGAGTCAGACACTTCAGGTTTTTAGTAGCCGGGTATAGCCAGGTGGGGGGGCTCTGAACAAAACCCTGGGAGGTTGATATTGCTATTTTTGAGCCCTGTTAAAAGCACCCCTTTTTCTCTGTTATCCATAAGAGACCCAGAAATAGCCCGGCCGTTATCCTCTCAAATTGATGACTTAATAGTTAAATATTCCACAGAAGTCTCAGTGCATGGACTCCATCTGTCAAAACAGGCGGGTGTTGGTGATGCTGGCTCAGAACAGGCAGAGTGCAGGCCGGCCATCTCATCATAGGTAGTAGACTTGCGAGGGTCCAGGTAAAGTTAGAAAGTGTCTGAAGAGGGTGCCAGGAAGACAGACAGGCAGATTGAGACTTGTGCGATAATAATTAACAAATATTTATTCTCTAAAAACATACAGTAGCTTCAATTATCTACAGTTTGAACTTGAGTACTTTTTTTTTCATCTGTGGTAAAATTTGGGTTCAACTTCCTTTTCTATTCATACTCAAATGATCATGCTACGGTACAAGCAACAGAGGCTCAGTTTGAGTGGAGTGGCTCAGGGGTGCCATGCAGTAACAGTACGTGCATAGTATTTAACAAATGTACAACAACAGCAACAGGACTTATTGTGTTCTCTTGTCACACAGGAAGTTGGCTTGGTTTTAATTACATCAGTTCAAAAGGAAGTATGTTACTTCATCTGTTGTAGTCCAGCTCAAATACAAAAACTGAAGTACTTCCATCCATCAACCAAAGAAAGAGCTCTTTCTATTTGTGTCGCCTTTTCTGGTAAGAAATTTGACCTGATTTTAAGCTAAAACATCATTTCTCTTCTGTTAGGTGGGGGTTGTTTCTGCTGTAGAAGTTCAATGATGAACTCGCGAAACAGACTGTGGATTATCTTAGTTTTTCTACGTTGGGTCTATGAAGCTGTAACCATTTATGGGTAAAACATCTAAATAGTAGCAGATTTATATTTTGATAGGAGCCAACCAAAAAGGAATTTGTGGGCTGTAACAGAATATAAGCAGCACTGTTAAGATGAATATTTTGTCAGCGATATATCTGTTGCTGTTGTCTGACCTTGACCGAATCAATTCTATCAGCTAGTGGATAGATTTAAATTATATCACAAAATTACCAAAATGAATGAATTCATGAAAATTCATACTAACATCTTCTCTCTTTTTGTTTACCATTCATATAATCTACATGAAACCTTACAAAAAAAATAATATATGGTGAGATTCTGTTTAGCAGAACTAAAATAAGAGTATGAGAAGTTACTTCAGCAGTATTGGGCTTGAACTGAAATAGCACAAAGTCGTTGGTGTGGTATGAGGATTAAGTTTAAAACTGTGCTGTTTTGATTGCATTCATGGATCTCTATTGAATCTTGGCTTTGTGATGCATGTTTTTGGTGTAAATATTTGCATGTATGAGATTTTGTTTCCTATCTCACTTAGCACGTACATTATTTGTAATTGTTTAAAAAAAAAAAAAAAAGTAACTAGTGTTGTGTTTACAACTCTAGGTTAAGAGATGAGGGTCATTGTGGAGCTGTTGGTGACTATGTTGACAGCCAGCATGTTCTCGAGTGTCTTCTTTCTTAGAGGTGAGTGTTTTGTTCAGTCCCTTATACTGAGAGATGTATGATACTTTAAAGTCATTTTAAAGACTGGTGCAAACAACTTGATGATTTATGCTTACATGCAGCACAGGAACAACAGCTGCAACGTCTTACTGCTGATCATCTTGTTCTTTATGCGTTACATTAACGCTCACTGGACTTTAAATTTATTTTCCTTACATGCACTCTGTGAGCAGATTACGTACACTGTAAGATTGTTTCTCGTTGTCGACTGCACAGCTCCTACATTGCACCTTTTGTACATTTGTGTTTTTGATCTTTTTTATATTTTACATTTTTAAATTCTATAGTGTTTATTGTAATAGCTTCTTGTACTTTACTATTTCAGTTGTTGCTAGTTCGGCTTTATTTCCTTGTTAATTGTTTAGCATCAATACACCAAGACAAATTCCTTGTATGCGTAAATGTACTTGGCAATAAACCCCGATTCTGATTCTGAAAGTACCATGCGTGTCCATCCTAGAGCTTTGTCACACATTGTATTAATAATGAGTCTGTTGTTCAGGTGCACTGGCAGCTTGTGGTTTTGCTACAGCCCTCTTCATCACGACACCACAGCAGATGGAAGCACTGAGTGGATCTTGTTTGCAGATCCCATGTACCTTTAGGCCGAAAACAGAGTTTGACAGCACAGGACAAATCTTCGGAATATGGATCAAAAACTATCCCTTTTTTCTTGACAGACAGGAAATGTGATTTTCAACAGTAGAGGGACAATCAGAATCTATCCAATGAATATAACTGGAAACCTCAGTGAGAAGCAATGCACCACCTTATTTTCTCCAATAATCTCAACATATGACGACACATACTTCTTCAGAACCGAAGGTGCATTCACTGCAACAGCTCTTTGTGATCCTCTTCGAATAAGAGTTACAGGTAATGTTTTTTTTTCTTTCATATTTTTTTTTCTATGTAGATTTTGTTTTATCCATCTAAAGATGGCAGTAGTGGTGTTCCTGAAATATCATATATTTGTAAGGAAATTCACAATTTCCAAACTTGTATTCAGATTCTCCTCCGAGCCCCAGATTTAAGATCTCAGGAGATCTGAAGGAGAAGGAGTCTGTCACTATAACCTGCTCAGCTTCCACTCCCTGTCCACTCTCCCCTCCTAAACTCACCTGGAATCTCAAACAAGACTCTCTCAACAACATGGAGGAAAACCCAGATAAAACCTTCACGACTAAAATCCAGGAGCAGATCACTCTGACGGACAAACATGATGGATACAACATCACCTGTTCTGCCACATATCCTGTGAATGAAGGAAAAGAAGTCAAGACAGCAGAGGAGACACAGACTCTCAGAGTTTCATGTGAGACAACCAGAGATTGTTATTGGATCCTGTCAGAATGAGATGATTTTAAAGATGTTTGCTGTTTTTAATGAAATACAATTATCTAACATTTTCCTCAGATTCTCCTAAAAACACCTCAGCGTCCATCAGTCCATCAGGTTTGGTGTCAGCAGGTATTCATGTGAACCTGACCTGCTCCAGCAGAGCCAATCCTCCTGTCAGCAGCTTCACCTGGTTCAAGATCAGCAGAGATGGACCCATGATCGTATCTGAAGGAGAGTTTTACAGCTTTAATGCCACAGAGAGAGGAGTTTATTACTGTGTGTCCATGAATGATCTCGGTAATCAGACATCACCACGGATCCATTTGAATATAAAAGGTAAACACAGAACTGTAGTAATGAAATATCCATCTTGATAATGAAGGTAAACATTAGAGTTGAATGAACCCACTCACTTTGAAACTCGCTCCTGTGATGACTGTTTGGTTTTAGTTGATCTTTGCGCCCCCTGTGGACAAAGTGGTACATGTCTTTGCTGAACCGGACCTGTATATTATCAGACACCTACACCATGGCAACATTTACAGGCATTTAAAATAATATAGAAATAATCTTGTCCCTGATTGCCTTGTTTGATGGTCATAAACTGGCATCAAAGTTAGTTTCAGTCGGTTAAGAAATAAAACTGCTCATAGGAGCTTTAACATGTGTCAGCAGTGTCAGGTCAGTTGTATTTCATGTCTTTTGAGCAGGACTGACTGATGGATCTCAAAGGGGAGCAGTTATTGGAGGAATCATTGGGATCATCTTACTCATCTGCTTGGTAGTCGGTGTAATTCTGTAAGTGTCGGAAACTAAAGCAGTTTCTCAAATTACATATTTTATACATTTAGTCTGCATACTAATTCAAATGTATTATTAATGGTTTATTTGCAGTGCTCTCGTGTTTTGGAGACGGTTAAAATCAAATGGCTCATCTCAACAATCTCTGGTAGGGCTAATCTTTTTGATACAAACATGCTCAATTAACATATTGCATCGGTTTTATTGTAATGTTTATTAAAAGCATTTTCACAAAGCAGTCAAGGACGGAGTAAAAATGTGTTGAAACAACACATGTGACACCATATCCTGTAAGCTAATTATTGTGGTTGAAGGAAACAAACAACCTGTACCTCAAAAGAAAATGTGTTTTAAATATTTTTTAGATGTCTTGTTGTTGAGTAACGCTGTTGCATGATTTACAAATTCTAATTACCATCTACATTCAGATATTCAATAAAAGTCATGTTTTTTTCAACCCCCAGTGTCAAACAGGTGAAGAACTGGCAAAAAGAGACACTGACGAAGGCATCCACTATGGAGAGATAAACTTCTCCAAGAGTAATCCTGAACCGTCCTCAAACCCAGGGCAGGACATTGGACCGCAGCAGGAGACGCTGTATGCACAGGTCAAAGGGTCTGGCTTCACAAGGGCGAGCGACAGCCCTGAAGATATCTATGCTGAAGTGAAGAATAATTAACAGGTGGAAGAAATGAGTCATTTTGCATGCATACGCAGATAGCATATAAAAATAATGAATGACAATATACTTTTTTTTTTTCCTACATGTTTTATTCTTTATGGTAAATTAGAAAAAATGTTGGATCCTGGAAATTAAAATGTAGTCTCTGCTGACTAAGGAGAAACTCCACATCTCCATGTCCTACAGTGTTCATATGTCAGTCATTAATACGGCCCTAGGTGTGTGCTAGCATCAAGCAGCTGTTGGAATGTAAACTGTATATAAATGTCAAATAAGCACACGGGTACAATTAGCGACAAAACTCCTACTTGTAGCTTGAGGTTTGTAGCTGATACAATCAGGGTAGCATACAGAATAAGCACATCTGTGTACCCACCTCTTGGACTTTGTCAAGTCTTATTGTTAAAAACATAAATGTTACACATTTGAATTTGAAAAACTCAAAATACTCCTGCAGCTACAACACTTTTTTTTGGTGTTACTTATGTTTATGTTCAAATCATATCTGCCTGAAAACCATTTGCAAGAAAATATTTCCACTGCTAAAAACGTCCTTTTTACACATTTACACAATTGGAGGCTTGCACGCATTTTCTGCTCACACTTACACTTAAAGTTAAATACACCTACAGGCCGTGAAATAAGTTGTGAACATAATTTAACAAGATCAAAATCTGTAAGAACCATTTTGCCCTCATATATATATGTGACAATAAAGTCTGAAAACTAAAAAAAGTAATTTTTTTTCAAGAAAGGATTTTACTTTAGACCTTAAAGACTAATGTCTTTTACAATGAACATTAGTAATGACTATTGTTAAACTTGTCATGTCTTGCCACTGTCTGGTTTTGTGTGGTTTTGTCTGGCTGATGTGGCATTAAATGTGATGAAACATTTAAGATATGAACACTTAACATTTAATTGGTGAGACTTCCTGAACCACAATTAACTACTGGTAGATTTAAACCTTTTTTAAAGCATTCCTCTTAGAGGCAACCAATATGTTGGCGTCTCATCATTGTTGTTAAAGTCTTCTTTTTAAAAATGTAACCCTTATCATGTTCCTTTATAATGGGGAACAAAACGGATACAGCATATTACTGATGTGGACTAATTAACAACACTTTCCTGTGGTTTTTCTCTTTAAAATCAGTCCTTCTTTCCTCTCTTTTAAATGCATGTAAAAATGTATGTTTGAAAGGTTAAAGGTGCACTATGGAGTTTTGGTAGAGAAATGTAAAAGTTGTAGAAGTGCACAGATTGTGTTATATGTGTTCATAACTCTATACACAAAAAATCTGGTCCCTGTAACACTGTTTGGAGATAAAATGCTAAGCGAGAAGTTGTGGTGGTGGACCGGCAAATGTGACACTGTAACTCTCCTGGTAGCTTTGTAGCTCCAAACAGAGTTCCTGGGACCCAGTTTTTCCTTTGAATAAAGTTTGTGTATTCACTTCAGAAGATAGAGCAGAGAATTGTTTCACTGCTCCAACTTTCACATTTCACTATAATCTAGAGAGTGCACCTTTAATTTAAATTTGAATGATAAGGAAAAGAGTGCGAGTACGCGGTTTACTGTTTATTTCTTTATTTGCATTACTATGCACATGTTTTTGTGAAGTGCATTTAGCAACTTATTATTTCATTTGTTTCAAGATTGTGTTGTTACACACAAGAATTCATTCAATTCATCAATCAATCTATATTTGTATCGCACAGACATCTGATTTTTTTTGCTCAGATCAGTTTTTTTTTGTCTGGCTGATCACATTTTTTATTTTTTTTTAAAGTGGCCCAGATCTGATTTGAGAAGATCAGATTCCATGTGACATGTGCTGTTCACACTGTTACAAAGGAGCAAAAATATCCAAATCCAAAAATGAGTAAACAACCAAACAGAATAAAGACACAACCCAGTTGGTTGAAAAGGCAAATTTACTTATATAAACCAACAAAAAAAAGTCCAAATATTTACTCAAATAAATGTACAAATCATTACAAAAAAAACACCTACGCATGATAATAAATTGGACCAAACAATAAGTTGAAAGGGGCAAAAACAATGAGTTTAAAGGGGGAAAACAGAGAATTATGGGGGAAAAAACAACAACAATCAAGTGCTAAAGGAGGCAAAAAAGTAGCAGTAACTGAAGGTCACCCTAAAGTTCTAAAAATTATGGCTGCAACATACTGCAAATAAATGCGGATTAACCGTACTCACCACCATGAGACTTTATGAAGAATAATTCAACAGAATCACGGGACAGGAAATGTGTCACACAGTTAAAACCAAACAAAGGAAACAAGTTCAAATGGGATGTACATACCTACAACAAACAAAGCTGCACCAGCATGGCAAGCAGGAGCGAGAGGGCTGCACGAAGTCCCAGGTATAGACTTACCAGGCAGGTAAGAGGCTTCATTCAACACCTGTACTGAACTCAAAATAATCTTCTTCATTGAGCTATGAATTGTTCTATCATTTTCTTTTTCTATCTTTTAAGTACAAAACTTTTTATCCTACTTTTTTTTTCATTTCTAGGGAACTCACACTTGGTCCAATGTTTCCAATATTATTATTGAAACCATATAACATGTTTAATATTGTAAAAAAACAAAAGTCAAACAGAGAAGTTATTGTGTCACTTTTGCATCTTTATGAAAATAAGACAAGGCATGTTCACTTGCAGTAAAATTATCAAAATAATGATTTGCATTGAGATGAGCTAAAGTTTAACTAGAAACGGACTGCCTCTCCCACAGGGTGCATGCAGGAAGGACAAAGAGTTGTTTAAATGCTGCAGCTCAGCAGGGTATCGCTCACTGAGAGAATCACTGGTTTGATGAGTTTACCTGATTTCACAACAAATTGTTTCTCTTTCTAAGGTCCAGGTTTTTTGGTAAGGTAAAATTCTACTTCTTAAAAACTCAAGCTGTTAAACCATCATCATTCATTATGGTGCTTTGATGAGTTTTTATCTTGAGGGAATGTGATGAGTTTGGTAAAATAAGCTCCACAACATGAATTTAAGCTCAGACAACAAGGAGGCTCTGTTTGAAGAATGTTTGGATTAACACATTGGAAAAATAACTTTTCTTTTTCAAATCCAGATGAAGCGTGTCATTGCCCTGTCAGTGGATATGTTTACAGACTACATGTTACTGAGTGCCTTCTTTCTTTCAGGTGAGTGTTTGTTTTCTGCCACTCGATCATAAACATTAATTATTTACAGTTTGACTTAATTCATAAACAAAGTATCAAGATGGGTAAAGTTTTTTCACCTGTTCATTTCCAGTACTGAATAAAGAGAAAGGTCATTACTGACTGTGTTGAGGGGAAAAGTGAAACACCGGACATGATGCTTCCTTTTTCTGTCTGTATTTGTAGACTTACAACAGAACTCCAAAAATGATGAAATGAACAAACACTGAGAAAAAGAAACAACAAAGATGCATACATGTCATGAAGCAGAGTATGGCTTTTGAAACTAATTCATGATCGGTTCACAATTTAAAACATCATTATAATACGCAATAAAGCATAACATTAAAAATCTAACAATTCATTTACATTTTAAGGTCTTTTTTAAAGAAGATCAGGAAGTTTGATGTTATTTCTTCATCCTAGCTCATAAATGAAATGGCTTTGGTCATTGATTTCTAAGGTTTTAATATCAAAGTTAAAAGAGTATTTGCAGAGTTGGGGGTAACTCACAAGACTGAAAAACTTATTTTCAACAATTCACACAATGGAGATCATTTCTTTTCAACTTTTCTTTTGGAAGCTCACATGTTCAGCTTACATGTTAAACTAACTATACTTAGCTAGCTTTAGTTAGCCAGCTAGCTCTCTGATGTTATTATACTACTTTTCATGTAGTTTGTGGAATAATAAGTGTTTAGCTAACTAGTTAGCCTGGCTATCTTAGCTGTGTTGTTAGAAATTGTATCAACTGTTACATTTAATATTCATTTATAAAAGATGTGTATTCATTGTTTCTATAATTAATGATGACATCAGGAGATACAACTCAGAAGACATATATGTTTGTGCCTAATGTTTATAACGTCCACTAAAGAAATATGCACCGTGTGTGTATGATCCTCACTCTGCCAGTAAAGCGTCTGAATCCATCTGATGACTCATTGTTATCTGACCGAAAACCTACTAGTGGTTCATTTTCTTATCCCAGTTTCAGAGGGTTTAAGACAAAACAATCAAAGTTATTATTCGAGTGTAAAGTAGGGGGTAATTCACCAGACTGATACTTTCAACAATTCATGCATTCATTTTCAACTTTTTCTACAGCTCATTTGGGCTAGACGGTGGCTCATCTTTCATTTTCTCAACAGCATCAGAGGGATTAAAGATTGTGTGTTTTCATTAAGAACAAGGAGGTAGTTATATGCAAAGCTTGTAGGCGCAGGGAACAAAAAGTTTTAATTCATCGCAACATTTCCACCGCAGAGTTCTTCTTCAGGTGATCACTTTTTGAACAAAGGATGGAGGCCACGCATACATATAGATTTCAACAAGGATTTGAATCCGGGACCCCCACTTCAAGGACCACAGCCCCTGTGCATGGGGCGCTAACTTACCACTAGGCCACCGGTGCCCCAGGAGTAGGACTTTTTAACTGATCACAAAAGTTATTGATGGTTTAATAAGCTGCTGGAAAGGGATAATAATCCGGTTGGGTTAGCCACATTTATCTTAATCATCTAAAACATTTTGCTCATCCATTTAATTTGCATTTTCATTCCAATGCACTATTTCTGTACGGATTTAAATACTTTTTTGGTCTGTTTAGTTTAGTTTTGTTGCTTAACCTCTGATGGAGAATGTGTGCCCAATGCATGGGAGGGAGGGATAAAGACGGAGGATAATGTAAGGGATAATAACAATTTGGTAAGGGCTCATTCCCAGGTAGACACTATAACCAGCTGAATTGTAGTTGATATATAACAGAATATATTCCACATTATGTTTATCACAGGTTCTTTTGTTACAGGTGTTTTGGCAGATTGTTCTGAAGGGTCAGATCTCTTCATCACTACACCAAAGATGGAAGCACTGAATGGAACTTGTCTGAAAATCCCATGTAACTATAGTGTTAAAAATGAAAGAGAGTTTGACAACAAAAGAGAAACATTTGGAATATGGTTTAAAGAAGACAAAGAGACCTCCAATCCAAAGAATGTGTTTTTTAACAGTAGTGGCACAGTGAACAAATTTCAAATGAACATAACTGGAAACTTGAGAATGAAAAACTGCACCACTCTGATTTACAACATCAACACGACATATGAAGGCGTATACTACTTCAGAATCATGAACTGGCCTTTCAGGGCAACAGCTGTTTGTGATTCTCTTCAAATAAAAGTCAAAGGTAAGATACTTATGTTTTCTTTCACTCAGACTGTAGAGTTATGACTTAGAATACAAATTGTTTCAGCTTTTGTCTGAGCAGAACTTATTCTATTTTCCAGGCTCTCATTATGGCAAGGGTTAGAGACAGATGATACACCGTTTTCTTTTAATTTTGCAATTAACAGTGTGGTCCAGTCAGTGAAATATCTTTAATTTAAACCCACAGATTCTCCCTCAAGCCCCAAACTAATCATCCCAGGAGACAAAGTACACACACATTTTCATATATGACATTACAAACCTTCTCCATGAAGTTTCCATGACAGAATATTAACGTGGTAATGATGACAGGCGGTGGCTGGAAGTTTGGGAAGAGTATAGTAGAAAAACATTTTAGAAAGGACAGTCACTGTCAGCTAGTCTATTGGTTAAAGTAATCTTTGTTTGATTTGAACACACAGATTCTCCTCCGAGCCCCAAACTAATCATCTCAGGAGATCTGAAGGAGAAGGAGTCTGTCACTATAACCTGCTCAGCTTCCACTCCCTGTCCACTCTCCCCTCCTAAACTCACCTGGACTCTCAAACAAGACTCTCTCAATAACATGGAGGAAAACCCAGATAAAACCTTCACGACTAAAATCCAGGAGCAGATCACTCTGACGGACAAACATGATGGATACAACATCACCTGTTCTGCCACATATCCTGTGAATGAAGGAAAAGAAGTCAAGACAGCAGAGGAGACACAGACTCTCAGAGTTTCATGTGAGACAACCAGAGATTGTTATTGGATCCTGTCAGAATGAGACGATTTTAAAGATGTTTGCTGTTTTTAATGAAATATGTTTATCTTACATTTTCCTCAGATTGCTCCTAAAAACACCTCAGTGTCCATCAGTCCATCAGGTTTGGTGTCAGCAGGTATTCATGTGAACCTGACCTGCTCCAGCAGAGCCAATCCTCCTGTCAGCAGCTTCACCTGGTTCAAGATCAGCAGAGATGGACCCATGATCGTATCTGAAGGAGAGTTTTACAGCTTTAATGTCACAGAGGGAGGAGTTTATTACTGTGTGTCCATGAATGATCTCGGTAATCAGACATCACCACAGATCCATCTGAGATTTGAGGAGAAAGGTGAACACTACATTTACTTTGACAACCATTGAGGCAATCTGCTATTTTCACTCTTCCAGCCTTCTGTTGCTTCATGCCTGACTTTTTGTGTTTTTTGCTGCTTTACCTGTTTAGCACTTTGATATAGTAACATCAGAAGTTTCCACTTTGTATTTTATATTGGTCTGGTTTATTCACTAGCTGTGCTTGCGAGCTCTCTACACTGGGAGGCAATCATTGGTGGAATCCTTGGGATCATTGCGTTCATCTGTCTGGTTGTCTTTGTTTGGTAAGTACCACAGATGGAAGCTGATGACTCAGTTACTGGCACTGGCATTTCAGCAGCACTTGAAAATATATAAATACAAATCTCCAGAAAACAATGAATCAAACCTGGAACAAAGTACAATCTAACAGCCTGTCATGTCTTCTAGGTGTTTAAAGTCAAAACACCCAACTGCACAACGGACTCAGGTGGGAAAACACAAAACTGTGACTCACAGACTCACAGTGCTGCACTTTTTGACATCTGCTCACGTTGTCCATCTGTCACTCACAATTTCTAAACATCCACTTTAATGACTTTTTCTCAGCAGTCTCTGGGCTGTGATGTAACTCTCACGTTTACAAAATTAAGATGAAAAGTTGAGATGAACCTGTACTCATTCAAAACAAAAAGAAAACTCCTGGTCAACTTTTAAAGATTTATATTTGGGGCTTTTTGTGCCTTTATTTAAGAGATAGGACAGTGGATAGAGTTTGAAATCAGGGAGAGAGAGAGAGAGAGAGAGCGAGAGAGAGAGAGAGAGAGAGTGAGGAACAGGTCAGATTTAACCCTGCAGCTGTCTGCTTGGAGGACTAATGCCTCCGTACATGGGGGGCACCCACTAACCACTGTACCACCGGTGCCCCCCTGGTCAACTTTGAATCCTTTTAGTAGTTTGGTCAACATGGTGTTAACTTTTATGTCCTGACCAAATAGGGATGTGAACCAGGGGCCTTCTGACTGTAAGGGAATATGATATCCACCTTTAGCCCCTTTAAAAATGCCATTTTTAACATATATATTTTTACATGTGGGACAATGTCATGATAAGATCCTTTTGACTCATAATTTTAATTTTTATTGAACCATTTTTGTAAATTTGAAAACTTTACATTAGTTGAGATGAAGTAAAAACACAATATTAAGTTATCACAACACTTTCACACTTTTCTAGTAAAACTGAGAATGACTACATTTTTTTTATCAGTGGTGAGATGGGTCTGAAAATATTTATTGCATCTCGCTGAAGGTTCAACCCACAGGTCTAATGGTGATTTGTTTTTTTCAGAGTCAACCAGGTGAAGAGATGTCTGCAGAAGAGCCAGCAAGGAAAACAAGAAGTACAAGAAAATATCCATTACGGAGAGATAGACTTCTCCAAGATGAGACATGAAGAGTCCTTTAACTCGGTACAGGACCGAGGACAGCAGCAGGAGACACTGTATGCACAAGTCAAAGTGTCCGGGAGAGGAAACAGTGGAGCACAGACTGCTGGCAGTCCAGACGATCTCTACGCTAAAGTTAGGAAAAAAATATAACCAGATGAAGATGTAAAACTTCTACATTTTTAAACAATTATGATGTTAACTACATGTATCATAAAAAAAAACCATCCACAATACTGTCTGAAAAAGAGACAGTAAATATGGTGCAGGGCTGAGCGTCTCCAAACGAGGACATCTGCTGGATGGATGGAGCAATGCAGTGAAGCTGTAATGCAGCTAAAGGAAGTGACAGAGAGGCAGAACAGGCAAGCAGTACTGAGACAGCTTTATAACAGTGTAGATGACCTCTGATTCAACAACATTTAAAACATCTCAATCTCAAAACTTTGAGATTAATATCCTCAAAGTAACTAAGTAACTTTTACTTAAAGTACATTTTAAACGAGTTACTTTTTACTTTTACTTGAGTACATTTTTAAGCTGGTACTTTTACTTGTACTGAAGTAAAATTTCATCAAAGTAACAGTACTTTTACTTGAGTAGAATATATTAGTACTCTTTACACCGCTGCATGTATGACTGTTATTATTGTCAGTATAAAGATATGTGTATGTGTGAGATTATTTGTTGGTGTGTGTGTGTGTGCATATTATTTTGGTTTACTTATTGCCTCGAATATCTCATTTGGTTACTACTTGTATTTTTACCTGTAGTGTTGTTGTATTGATTATTTTAATGTATGGGTTACTGCCAAGGGGCAACCTCCGGTCTCCAAAAATGAAGCCTATGCGGAAGTACAAAAAACTGCAGTTCCTCGAGGTTCCGCTTGAGGCTGGCTGCAGAAGCGCCGGAAGTGCCATAAGCCCACAGCCAAAAAAGCCCGTTTTTACCACAGGAATCAACATGTTTACAGCCTGGTTCAAAAAACGAGATGTATCTGAGAAGTTGACGGCCCCTTCTCCTCACACTGTGGGGGGGGTGAATTTTTTTATAACTCATCGGATTTTATTCTATTAAGGAAAACGACTATGCCCATATTTGGTTGTGTCAGATTTGATTGACAGCTCTGTGCGCTGCATCTGTCTGTCAGGTCAGCAGGTCAGCAGGTCAGGAGGCTAACAGCTTGATCCGTCTGATTTCTCCTCTTTCTTACTTCGTTTGGAGAGTTTGTTTAACACATATCTGACAACATACATGGCTTGCTGTGCGGTTAACAGACCATCCAACAAGTTGATGCTTCAGTTTTTTTCGGTAAGTGATATAGTAGTGTTATATTTACTGCTTACTCATGTGTTTATATTTACGGACCTAGCTTGTTTAGCGTTAGCTTGTAAACCAGTCGGCTAACTGTGTAGCTCATTATTTACATTATTTACATTATTTACGGTCAATGGTTTAGAAATGTTTGTTGTTAAGATGTTGTTGTTGAAAATAGTGAGTTTGTGTGATGTTAGAAGCTATCTCGGTGGTTAACCACAGACTGTAAATATGGTTATCTGACGTTATGATGAATGTTATACTCCACCTAAATGTGGACATTAAAAAACAAACTTTATGTAGTAATTATCCGTCAGTAACATAAACTGAACTGAACCTAATGTGCTGTGTAGGTTATAGAGGATGACATTAAAGTTACATGGTTGATGTAGTGTCTTAAGGTTTGAGCAAACTATTAACAAATAAAAAAAACTTCACTTTGTAAGAGCATCTGTAACCATTAAGAACTATATTAATAACCATATTAATTTTCACTGAACTCATACACAGAATATAGCAGTAGAAATATAAAATATAAATAACATATGGAATGAAAATAAGATTTAAAGCACATAGATATAAAGTATAAGAAATAGTTTGAAGAATACAGCCATGTACTGAGCTCATGTTAATAACAGATGAGTTACTGTATATTCTGTACTAAAGCACAGAGAGTTGGGACCTGTTACTGATTTAAATAATTCAGATTATATTTGTTTCATGTTAAGATGAAGTACTATCCACAATAAACTGCTTAATTTTTCCTCACAAAATCTGAGACAATTTGATGTGGAATATCATTGTGTGAGTGAGAGAGGACTCATTTTCTGCCTATGTCACAGACGGGTCAGGGTTTGTCCAGTAATATTTACAGTCTATGGTTACTGCCCTATTTTTGTTTGTTCAACTTTGAAAAAGCTAATAAAAAAAGGGAAAAAAACATTTTGATCATTTGAAGCATTTCTCATCAGGCCTTGGTAAATGTTATTAAGTTATAAAGTTATAAAGTTGCATTATTAGTAATTCTTTCAGTACAAGGAAACTGAGACAGACATCTCACTTTTCTATTTTAATAAACACAAATAGTTTGACATGCCAGTGTATTCAACATGTTTGATGTTATATAGAAGATGAAACTACATCTGTGAGTGTCTGATAAGCCTATAAGAGAAGTGGTTGGATATAAAAAGATGAAAAAGAGGGGAAGTATAACAACCAGAGGTAGTTTGTTTTCTTCTAATGAGAACAAGTCCTTCCACTGTATCATTGTAGCCACTGTAGCTGCACAGCTCTCTACAACTAAATGTTTTCATCAGTCCACAATTCTGTTTATTGTCAATGCAATGATTTTTTTTCATTGATTGTGGAAACTCTTTATTTAATTTAGTCCAGTTTCAACAATGACAACTTTTACAATTCCAGCTGCATTAAAAGCAAAACAATAAACACCTTGTGATGATCCATAGTACTTAATGCAGATCTCTCATCTAAATAAAAAATGTAGCTGCAGCGGCCAGAGTTACAACCCCAACCCGTATTATTATAGATATTTACACTAAAGGAACAGCTGTATATTTGTGGTTGAATGGATTTGGTTTGGTCTTGTTATGAATCAGCCTCTGTATGATGAATGTTAAAAGTTCACCTTAATCATAACCTGTAATCGTATGTTTCTTTTACATATGTCACCGTTAGGATTAGTGAACTTTTATCACATAAGAAGAGGGCATTAAAGCTTGCAAGGAGTATGTGGTTGATGATTACTGTCTTTGAGAAGATAAATATAAAATAAATGATGTGCACACTTCTCCATGTGAGGCAACGAGCAGGCAGAATGCTGACATGTTATATTTCTCCACCTCAGCAGAGACGTCTGTAATTATGTTGTTTTATTTTTTATTATTTTTTTGCTGCAATTCACATAACACCAGATTGTGAAGGAATGCTGAAGGCCCGCAACACTGCCTTCAGATCAGAAGACGCAATGGCCTACAGCGTATACAGAGCAAACCTGAGGAGTGGCATCATCAAGGCCAAGCACTGCTACAAGCTGAAGGTAGAGGAACACTTCTCCAACTCCGACCCCAGACGCATGTGGCAGGGCATCTAGGCCATCAGTGATTATAAACCCAGCAACTCCACCCCGATAACCACAGATGTCTCCTTCCTGAACGAGCTAAATCACTTTTATGCTCGTTTCGATAGAGACAACAGGGAGACGCAGACAATGACCAGACCTCCACAGACGTCCACGCTGCACTGAGCTGGATCGACGCTCGAAAGGCTGCTGGTCCAGATGGTGTGTGCTTAGAGCACGTGCGGAGCAGCTCACTGGGGTTTTTACGGACATCTTCAACCTGTCCCTCGCCCAAGTAGCTGTGCCAGCATGCTTCAAAGCCACCTCCATTGTCCCAGTGCGAAACACTCCAGCCCGACAGGCCTGAATGACTACCGCCCTGTAGCACTCACACCCATCATAATGAAGTGCTTTGAGCGACTGGTCCTAGCACACTTGAAGAACTGCCTCCCACCCACACTGGACCCATACCAGTTCTCCTACCGCAGCAATAGGAGGACAGAGGATGTAGTTTCCAGAGGATGCAGATTTTAGCTCAGCATTCAACACTGTCATCCCCTCCAAGTTAAACACTAAACTCAGAGACCTGGGCCTCAACACCTCCCTCTGTCACTGGATAATGGACTTTCTGACCAACAGACCCCAGTCTGTTAGGTCAGGACACACCTGCTCCACCACCATCACACTCAACACAGGCGTACCACAGGGCTGTGTGCTGAGCCCATTCCTCTACTCCCTCTTCACCCACGACTGCAGACCTGTACATGGATCCAACACCATCATCAAGTTTGCGGACGATACGGCGGTGATTGGCCTCATCAGCAACAACGATGACACAGCCTACAGGGAGGAGGTACAGCATCTGGCCGCCTGGTGTGCTGACAACAACCTGCTCCTCAACACCAGCAAGACGAAGGAGCTCAACGTGGACTTCAGGAGAGAAAGAGGAAGTTCCTGGGGACCCACATCACAGAGGACCTCTCCTGGTCCACTAACACCTCCAGTCTGGTTAAGAAGGCTCATCAACACCTCTTTTTCCTGAGGACACTGAAGAGCAGTTTTAAGGACATAATCTCCATAGAGAATTATGGAAGTCAGGCAGTGTGGGACTACAAGCCACTTCTTAATCTATCCTGTGACCCCTCTTTCCAGCTTCTCCAACGTTGAAGTTGGGACCTCATAGATTGTAAGGGGCCACATGATCCGAGGTAATTGGCCAAGCCTTTGGAACCAATGAAGCTTGGGTGCCATGTTACACATTTGTTAGAGCGTGAAGCATTTAAAGCAGAGTCCTTATCACAGTGGACCAGGTTCAGTTCTAACCTGGGTCTTTTAGTGGGTGTCATTCTCTCTCTTTTCTTCTAAGTGTCCATCTTTAGTTGATGCTACCTGTGAGGGCTGATGTGTGAGCTGAGAACACTGCCCTCTGTAGGTAGGTTGAGGGAGAGTTTCCTGGTAGATGTGTGGTGGGACTGCTTGGTGTGTGCCGGTAAGGGAGCTCTGGGGAGAAACAGTGACTGTGTGCTTTGGTCAGATACTTAATGAGGTTTCTCTTGTTCATTCAGATGTAATGAGCTGTGTCCTGATTTACCCTGACTGATATGCTCTGTAGGCTCATGTTGAAGAGGTAGGCTACAAATAACTGTTGTTGTATGATTAATTGTAGGCCTATGACTAATGTGATTTAATTCTTTAGGAAATTCAGCCTTTGACTCCCTCCCAGTGTCAGCCTGCTGACCTTCCAGGTGTCTCCTTTAATCAGGGCCTCAGATTGAGCGAGGTAACTTTAACTGATAATGAAGGAGGGATCTTCCCTCCAAGGTGTTTTATCTAGTTTATATAAATGATGTTTACCATGTCTTCCTCATTATAGACGAGTGTCAGACTGCTGCTTTGCCTGAATCAGTTCATCCATGTCGTCTGGCTGAGATTGTTTGTTGAACTGGACTCGGCCATGGTTGTTGTGCTCACTGTCCATGTTGTGGTGGATAATTTACTGCGTACCTGCCCATATTTAAACCCATGAATGTGTAACCTTTATGTGAAACTGGACCAACTGGACTTCATGCTTGTCTTTGTTTTATTTTATTTGTAGGCAGCGGGGACGCGCTGCGGGGAGTACGTGTGGGATCCAGACCACTTCTTGCATGTGGTGTGGTCGGCCTGCTGGTGGTGGACACTCAAGTGTTTGGAAGATTGTCTTTTTTCTTGCAGTGTAAGTTGCAGCGTTAGTGATCACAGTGAGCTCACGTGGTGGTATCTAGTGGAGTCTGTGATAGAATCTCCCTGCGGTAAGTACCCTGTCTGGTTATATTTGTTATAGTTTATTTAAATCAGTAGCTATAACTTTTAGATATTTATTATTGTGAAATAAAAAATACCTTTCTATTAAACTTTGTGTTGCTTTCTATTTGCTCAGGTACTCCAGCACCAAGTATATCATTTTTAAATAAATATGATTGGTGAACTGAATGCACGTCTCCTGCTCTCCTTGAAGCAACACATTTGAAGCCGGGGCCAATCAGGACCTATAGGTTAATATAGCCTTCATATCTGTCTTTAAACACACTACCAAAAAAGGGAAACACTTTAATAAAACAGAGGAGGAGTCAAACACTAACTTCCTCATTCTCACGGCACAAGAAGAAAGGAAGAAATCTTTTGGGGTTTTTGTGTCTTAGCAGCGAGGTGACTGGTTTGTTGCAGTTCTGCTGAAATTTAAAAATCGTCTTTTTTCTACATTTTCTCTGTTTAAGCTCCTGGAGGTTTGTTTGGTAAGATCAGCTATGACTGCTATTTATGTTTTATCGTTTTAGTTTTCAGCAGCTTTTATTTTCTTTAAGTGAAAATGACTGTTTTGTTAATCCAACTCTTAAACTAGGACTTTGAAGAGTAACTTAGTTTTTAATTCCAGGTGATGGGTGTTACTGCAGTCCTGTCAGTGAACATGGTAACAGCCATCATGTTACTGACTGTCTTCTCTCTTTCAGGTGAGCTGTTTGTTCACTTACTTTCATTCAAAGATGTTTAATCTGTACAGTTTGAACTTCCTGTAGAAACAAAGCAGAGAGAAGAGTGCAGATAGAGTTTCTTCTTTCATCTCTTCATGTCCTGACTGAAAAGTGAAATGTTTTAGACTGACTTTGTGAACAAGAGAGAAAAAGACCAGAGCACACCACATTACTTCTTAGGCTCTCATTAACATCCTCTATCAGGGATGTCAGACATACGGCCCGACAGCAGGTTTCATCCGGCCGTTTTGGGAAGAAGGAGGAAATGTATTGAAAACTATTTTGAGGTATTTTATAAATTAAAGATTTGTAATACGTATTTTCCCCGAATTGTATTAAAACCTATGTAAAAATGAGCAACGTAAATGTTGATATCATGATACGAACATTAATTAAACGGGGCACTTTGAATTATCTTCTCAGCAGGGAGTATCATAGAAAAGACGAGTGGCCGAGCGCACGAGCTGCTCCTGCATTACGCTAATCAGCAAACAGGCTGAACAGCTGAGAGAGGTGACACAGAATGCAGGTTTTCAAGAGAGATCGTAGGGGGATATTTCTTTAGTTTTATTTGCTCACAAGTTGCCAGAATTGTATCAAAGCTACGGGACTAAACGACAGGCACACCGCTGCACTGCGCGCGCATCATGACGGTCTTCAGTTCTTCACACTTCTTTCCAGTTTCTCCTGTCTTGACTGATGTAAAACTAAAGTTTTACTAATGATAACAAAGCTTCCTATGGAGTGAGCACAAAGAGCAGCTCGTGCAAATAAAAAACAATCATCTCCGCCATGCGTAATGGCCCAGACCGTCTCCACACATCCTGACTAAGTGTAGGTTGTGGACACCGGCGTTGAGCCTGATGTTTATTGTAAAAACAGTAAATTAAAATTAATATTAGCTGATTTTAATTACAGATGGTTCATTTTTAGGTCACCCAGAGGTGAACGTGTTGTGTTGAGCACCTAAAAGTTTCAGCGCGACATCACTTCTAAATGACTTTGGTAAAGTTAGAAATATATTCACAGATTCGGCTTTCCCGGATCAATAACTCATCAGCGGAACATTGCTCTTACAAAACCGACACCTCTCTGCAATCACAACAAGATAGACTGCTGCGAGCTACATTCGTATTTTCCTCAAAACGAGCCGTCCTCCGCGCTGGGGAACTTGCATTGGCCTCTACGCAGAGCCGGCTGGTGCTCGAATGCGCAGGGACCGTCTGCAAATTGCAACGCCGAAAAACATATGATACAGAAATAAACAATAACTTTTCATGTAGTGTCATGAAAATCATTTTACACATATGTGATCTCACGTTTTTCATATACATTTCTCAGATTGGAAAATAAAAATTGAGGATTTTTTAAAAGCCTATTATAGCCATAGTTTATAACCCAATGTTCAATAAAATCCCTTTTGTAAAGTGTAGGGTAAAACAAAAACCCATTGTGAATAAATGTCCTCCTGCTCTATAAACTACATCACATTGCTTTGGATAAAGGGCTTTCATGTAATTTCAGTGATTTCTTATCATTAAATTTGGTAATAAAATATGTAAGAACTACTATAACATGTTGTAGTGCCATCAAACTCACAGCACACATAAACCATGTCCTCTTGATTATACTACAACTCTTAGTTTGGTAAAATGTGCTTCAGGTATTACAATTTGCTTCCATATAACTTCAAGTTTTCTTGATATGTATAATTATCGATAAAGTCACTATTATAAATTATAGGCTGACATAAACATCATCACATATACTCCATATCATGTTGTTTACACTACAGCACTTGGTTTGGGAGTTTTGGCTTTCACTCAATTCTGAGGATTTCTTTTACCTACCAAAAACAACATAATTTCTTTCCAATTCAGTTTTTAGTAGCAGTACTCAGGTTGAACAGTAGGGGTCTCTTTTAGCCAAAACTATGACACTTGGTTTGGAAACTGTGTTTTTAACATGGATATCATTAAAAAAAAGTCACCATTGTAGGCTCTAGGGTCACCGAAATATTTCATCACACATAAAGTAAATCATGCTTAATGCTTTTATATTATGTGTGATTTTTCAGATTTTTTTCATATGCCACATATGAAATCAGGTACATTTAGAACTGAAAAATCACATTTCTATCCAACATGCTCTCCTTTTCGATCTGTCGGGTTATTTGTTTGTTTTCAAACTTATTTCTTTTATCTGATCTCTTTTTCTTTCAGCTGGTTAAAGTCAAGATGCTTCAACAAACAGGTGAAGGTGAGTTACTAGATGAGGACAGGTTCATCATTCTTTCTACAAAATGAGATTGAAGCACGTGTTATAAAAGAGAGAAGTTATCTGAGTAGCTCTCTTTGAAGATTTAATCGACACAGTCACATAAAGTAATTAAACAAGAGAAAATGATGTTCAGATATTCAGGTCCAACAGCAGCGACAGGAGACCAGATGGTAACAGTGAAAAGTGTTTCAGGAAAACTTAAACTGACTTTGATTTGCAGAGATAAACTTCAAGTGTTACTGGTTTGTCTCTTGTAGCTGCATCAAAGTCACCACACAGCACTGACACCGCTCTCTCTGTGTTGTTTCATTCAAACAGGTCGCAGAAGAAAGATAAAGATAAAGATAAAGATAAAGATAAACTTTATTGATCCCCCGTGGGGGAAATTTGTGCATTACAGCAGCTCCAGAAAACAGGGGACGGGAATATACTTATAAAAAATAAAAATAGAAGTTAAAAACAGATCAAACATATTTACATCATTTAAATAAAATAATGTAAAATTACACAGTAACTTGCAGACTATGTCAACAGAGTGGTTATGATTCAAGCTTCATGAAGGAGAAGAGGATGACTTCATGTTCATCTTAAATGCAATATCTCTATTTCTCTTTTCTGTATTAAATGTTTTTTCTTTGCAGCAGGTTAGTGATGAACAAAGGATGGGATACGACAGGAAGGATGTTTTTGTTCAAAGGCAGATAACATAAAAATACTGTAATGTACTGCAGCCAAATCATTACACTGTGAAGCACTGTAATTATTTTTTATATTAGCTTCTTTTATAATAATAATACATTTCATTTCAAAGCACTCCAGGTCACCTTACAAAGCAGAGATAAAAACAACAGAGTAACAATACATCCATCAAATTAACATTAAAAAGACAAATTTACAGAGTATGAAATCTTTGTGAGATAGGATGGAAAATGATCAGACAGAAAATGCTCATTTTAAAAGATGTGTTTTGAGATGAGATTTAAAAATAGAGAGAGTCAATCTTACAGATGTGTGGTGTGAAGACCTGAGAGTGAGGGTGGGTGTGTTGATGTGCAGGAGATCAGAGAGGTAGAGAGGAGCGAGGTTATGGATGGACTTAAAGGTGAGGAGCAGAATCTTGAAGTCGATGTGATTAATGGAGGGGGGTCACAAGAGGATGCAAGCAGCAGAGTTCTGGACCAGTTGAAGTTTGTGGTTGGACTTGAGAGGGGGAACATTGAGGATGGGAGATTTAAAAAGGGTGTGAACGATGATGGAGGTACTGTTGGATGTGATGGACGGGCGGAGGTGATTTAAGTTACGTAGATGGAAATAAGTGGACATTATTGATGTGAGCTCTGAAGGATAGTGTGCTGTCGAGGAGGACACTCAGACTCTAAACTTGAGGGGAGAGAGAAACTGAGGAGTGATCAACAGGGAGAGAAAAACTGTCAGTTTTGAAATTGTGGATTTGGTGCCGATTAGGAGAACCTCGGTTTTGTCATGCTGTTTATTTCTTATGAAAAACAATTTTCAAAAGACAAACAAGGATGATAAGTGAGACTTTTGATAAGAAGAAACTGAAAATCTGAAGGAATATTTGATTGATTCTGAGAAAAATAATCTTTGATGTTTAAATATGTTTATAGTCTGAATTGTATGTGTAATAAATGAATTAACTTAATGTACTATTGCTTTTTTATAGGTTCCTTCTATGATCTTTATTAGTTAATCATCTGTATTATGTGTAATTTACATCATGCAAAGCTTGCTAGTATGCAGGAAGAGGAAAGTAGTCTGTTCCCTACTTTCCCACTTAAATGTATAAGGAGATATTTTTTAATGTAATGCTGTGGCCTTATTCATGAAGCCTCCTAAATACTAAAAGTTGCTCCTAGTGACAACTTCTAAGAATTTCCCCTTAAAGTTAAGACTAGATCATTGTAATGATTCAACTTATTCACAAAGCGTCTTAGCCCTTAAGAGTCCATCTTAGACTTTTGTCAGTGCAAAGTGAGACATGCATGTTGAGTTCCTGGTTACCTCCACAGGTAAATCCAATATCTAATAAATGCTGATATAACTCTCATCATGTGTACATTTGAATAATTATCACACGTGTTAATTTCATAGTGTTCATAATAACATAATGTCTGACTCGATTCTATGATAGAGCCCTATGGATTTCACTGTCTGTCTATGTCCATTATCACTAGAGAGCACTTCTCTCCATTATTTGGATCAACCAATCACAGCTTCTGAAAAAAATGTGTCATACATAGCAACAGGGTCAACTATGCCTCCTCCCTTCCATGCTCAGAGTCGCTCTGAGAATTTTACTATATCACTACTAAGCCAATAATCCTCTCTAGGATTTTTTAAGTGAAGTTAGGAGGTCTCAGAGAGGACTCTCAGAATGTTTGTGAATATGGGCCTGATGTTTAACTTTCTACATCTGAATGTTCTGAAGCTGTGTTTTTATTAAGATGTGAAAAACAGAAGTTTCGGCCCAGGTGAGAAAGTACTAATGTTGTTGCCCATTCCCAGTTCTGCTCTGCAGGCTCGTTACAGCGGCCCCTATGTAATAAAGGACAAAATTAATGACCGGGATAACATAGTAGCCACTCAACAACGCATGCGACGTAATAGATTTTGTCACATTAAAATGTTAAAGCCCTACATTGAGAGACATGCTGCTCCTTTACTCCCCCTCCGGTGAAGTGACAAAAGCAGTTTTGGCGATGTCCAGTGCTGAACTTATCGATCGGGTCAAAGCGGCACCGGAGCTGTCCATCTGAGATGTTGTCCAAACTTGATGCTTGTTTTCCACATTTAAATCAGGTCCAACACGAGGATGTGCTTATTTTAATAAAATCTCATAATTCCTTGTTTTCTGATGATCTGACTCAAACTCATGTGTTAGAGCACGACATTGATGTGGGGATTCAACCCCGATAAAACAACACGCTTACAGAGTCAACCCTGACAAACGTCTCTGTCTAAACAATCAGGTTGACTACATGCTGGAGTCCCAGCTGTAGTTCGTGGAGTTCGCCGTGCCTCCTTGTGGGTAAATCTGACGGCTCTGATTGTTTCTGTACGGATTTCTGGAAAGTGAATGGAGTCACTAAACTGGATTGTTATCCTCTGCCTTGAGTTGAGGATTGTGTTAACCATGTCGGTATAGTGTTAACTTTGTAACTAAACTCGATCTACTAAAAGGCTACTGGCAGGTGCTGTTAACTCCTCGAGCAAACGAAATTTCTCCGTTTGTTACGTCTGACTCTTTTTTGCAGTATACGATGATTTTGTTCGGTGTGCGAAATGCACCTGCAACCTTTCAGTGTCTGGTTAATACGGTGCACTCAGTTTTGGGGGGGGGGTGTGAGGCGTACCATGACGACATTGTGGTGTACTCGAGCACCTGGGACGAACATATACAACAACTGCGGACGGTGTTTGACAAACTGTGTGACGCTAATCTCACGCTAAATTTAGCAAAGTCTGAATTTGGCCAGGGTACAGTTACATTTCTGGGAAAAATCGTTGGTCAGGGGCAAGTCAAGCCGGTGCACTCTAAAGTAGAGGCTATCCTGTCATTCCCTGCTTCTTCTTCGCCGTTTTTTGAGGATGGCAGGGTATTATCGTAGCTTCTGTAGAAAACTTCTCTGCTGTTGCGGCTCCGCTCACCGACCTGTTGAGTCCCAAGAAACGTTTTGAGTGGTCTGACAGTTGCCAGGGCGCGTTTGACTGCGTAAAGGCCTTAAAGGGCCCATATTATTCTTTTTCTGGTTTTATATGCTCTCTAGTGTGTTTTCCATGTATCCTGTGCATGTTTAGGCACATCTATTTGCAAAATAAATCCGCGGAAACACGGCTTCTCCTACGTCCTCCTGTTAGCTGCAGCATTAGCTGCATGTAACGATCGATTCTAGACCCCCTTGAAAAAAAATTGTCAGTGTGACAGTGTGATATCACTGATCTAAGCCCATTGGCTCGTTGTGGCAAGCCCTGCAGCTCATGTTGCATGCCCATTAACTTCTGTAGCACGCACATGATATGCCGTAGCCTGCGGTAGCACAGTAGTGCTAAGGTGCTAATGTTTTTGCTTCCCTCGGAGCCAAAGTGGCTGCATTCCCAATATGGTAAAAGGGGCATGACATGTCGAGAACCATGCTGAGCGACTGACCAATTACAGCAGAGCCGACAGGCCGACCAATCAGATCAGACTTGGCACACGTGGGGACTCTGAACGTGGGCACTTCAGAGCCTTAGAGAGAGAGTCAGAAGCGAGCCGGTGCATGGAGCGGCAGTACATGAAAACAGACACTTTTTTCGAACTTTAGCTTGTAGCGCCTGCAGAGTCAGAATCCTCTTTGTACACACCTCCACTCATTGGTTCCTCCGTCATCCACCCACATTCATCTCACACTCCAATGGAAAACCGTCCAAACTGAATCCGTCCTCCAGGAAGGGCATTTGTATAGGTGCAAGTCACCGGTGATCGGCGCGGACAGTCATTGGAAAAAAGTCAGTGAAGGAGAAGGTTACCTCGGCATAGAGCGTGATTGAAAGTTTGTGTATAGCCGTTTGTTAAAATCTTCGTCGCTGGAGGTCCGTTGCTGTCAGGCCCGGCTACCTGTTGGATTTGTTATTTCCCTGTTCCTGGTGGATCAGCTGTTCCCTGGATTAGGAGATGCCAGAGGAGAAAATTCAAATAAAAAAAAAAACAACTTTATTTGTCCCGGGGGGCAATTCAAAAGCCCAACTCTGACTTAAACCTACTGACTGACTTAAAAACTTTGGTACCGTGAGTACCTGGTGTGTCTTTTGTTTCTTTGTGTTTTGATTGTTGCACCGTGAAGAGAGACGCTGGTTTTTCTTTTCACTTTGTTTCCTCATTTGTTTTCAAGGCCCGCGGTAAAACCCGGAGCAGAATTTTTGTTTTGTATTTGAACATTGAACTGAAATGGACTCAACTGTGGGTTGTGGGCTACGGGAGCGAACTTTTGCCGGAAGGGACTAAACTTTGAGTTCCACACAGACTGTGAACCACGCACACACAGTGCTCACATTCATTTTGTTGCAGTGTGGTTGATGCCTGTTATAATATATATATTTGAAGTCCCATTGTTGTTTTGTTTGATTGTTTTTTGCTCTTGCTTGGCTACTATTTTGTGCAGGTTGGCTATTTTTTCGTTTGCATTTAGTTTTTGTTTGTCAGACTTGACTCTGACTGGCACCCCAAAATTAAAACCTTGTCAAACCTGCTACAAGCTATTGTGAACATACTTTAGGAGGTACATAGATTAAATATATGAACCCCAAAAAGGGCATAATATGGGCTCTTTAATGACTCATGCTCCGGTTTTACCTGCGCCTGTGTTTCATCGCCCTTTCAAAGTTACGGTTGACGTAGGAGTGGGTGCTGTCCTCCTTCAGCATGGACACGTTAGAGTGGAACACCCGGTCTCCTATTATTAAAAAAATGTAACCGTCATCAGTGTGTGTCCATACTATCCCCAGAGCAATGGTCTTGCAGAAAAATCTGTGCAAATTGCCAAGTCACTCCTGAAAAAAGCCAAAGCTGATCACAAGGATGCCTATCTGAGCCTCCCAGAGTACCACAACACACCGGTTGATAACTTCAGATCACCAGCTCAGCTACTTATGAGTCGTCGCTTACGCTCCATCCTACCCAACACCCACAAGCAGCTTCAGCCCAAGATCGTCAGCCAACAAAGTGCTCATACCAGGAGAGCTCACCAGCAACAAACCCAGAAACGATATTATGACAGGTCAGCCAAGCAGATGACACAGCTGCACGAAGGACAAAACATCCGTTTCCAAGATCCAGGATACTGGAAGCCTGCAGTCATCATTCAGCCTGCTGACACTAACAGATCTTACCACATACACACACCTGAAGGACAAGAGTACAGGAGAAACAGACGTCACCTTCTTATCACAAAAGAAACACCCAACACACACACAGACAGACAACCTGATGACAACGAGCAGCAAACACCACACAGTCCCACATCACTCACCTCACAGATCACAAGTGAAACTGTCCCTCAAACAGTTCCTCACACTGTCCCTTACCAGACCAGGTACGGACGAGAGATAAAGCCCAGGTCTGTTTTGGACTTCTAAACTCATGTAAAGGGTGTAGGCAGATCGCTGCCCTTAAATAAAAAATGTTCATTGGTTATATGCTGTGATGTATTCTGATGCAGAGTTGATTTTACTAAACATTTTGATTTGGGTTTATACACTAACAGCACATTATGCCATGTATACTGTAATTACAAGTATGTGTTACGTTTATCTTTTCTAAAAGGGGGATGTAATATTCTCACAGAATATCATTGTGGTTGCCTAGCAACACTGTTGTGTTCTAAGTTAGTAACATGTGTTCCTATTGGTTGCTGACTGAGCCTGATTGTGATTGGTCCGCAGTGTATGCAGATGGAGCCTGTTCTGTTTAGTATGTGTGAGAAGTTCACCTTCCTAGTAAGACTTCACCAGAATGTACAGAGTACACGACTGCAAATAAAGATTCAGTTAAAGCACGTCGTCGTAACAGATACAAAACAAGACAGGTAACTGCCGGTAATGAGAGGGAGATTGCCTGCACAGAAAACTACACTCACATGCAATCACACAGCCATGCACCTCAGGACACACAGGAGAGGAGAAACAGAGAGAAATGAATAACAACATACAAGAGAGTAAGGGAGGGGGGCTGCAATGGTGTTAAACCACAACACTCTAAGTGCAAGGAAACGCTCGTGTGAAAAGCGTTTGTCACTGTGTGGTTCATGACCACTTCTCTGGTTAAAGAGAAATGGTTTAAAGTGAACTGATGATGCTGTGTAAGAAGTGTGATATGAAATGTAAGTACAAAGGAGAAGTTGTTCATGTATTTACATTTTCTTAAATTTACTAAGAAGTCTAATGTATGTTGTATTCAATATTCTACTAAATTATACACTCATTAAAACATGAAACCAATAAAATAAACAACCTCAACATACAGCCAAAGCTTGAGGTATCCAGTTCCTCAGATGGTAGAGCACGTACTATTTAAAGTCCTCACCACAGTGAGTGGACCAGGTTCAGTTCTGGTCCCTTTGCTGTTATTCTCTCTCTACCTCAACTTAACTGTCCATCTTACACTGCACCTATCCAAAAAAAGCAAAATAGAAAATAGTTTTAACAAAAAAAAACATCAGAAGCAAACTTCCTCATTCACACAGAAGGGAGGATAAAGACGTTGATGTTTTTGTGTCTGAGCATGACATTGTGTAGGACTGTGCTGGTTTCTTTTTTTTAGCTTCGATGTTGTTTCCTTTGTATGGAAAGCTTTCAATGTTCTAAACAGAAATAAGGATGAATGAAAAGAGACATTTGAGATGATGAAAATACAAAAATGACTTTTCCAGTTTTTGTCTTTTGAGGATTTGAATCCAAATCTGTTTTCCATATGTAATAAAAAGATTAGTGATAGTATAGTCCTCCTTCAAGTGGGCGGCCTGTGGCTCTTTTCCTGCTGTACTGCTTCACTGACAAAGTAGATAAGGTACACATTAAGATTGTATAAAATGAGTGATGTTGTTCACATAAAATGTTGCACCAAATAGCATTAACATCAAAACAAAATATGACATTAAAAGTGACTGTGAGCATGTTCCAGTTTGTTTTAAGTTTTGTGCGCCCTGTGGAAAAGTATGGAGTGTGAAGTCTCTTTTAGAGGACTGATGATCTGGATTTGTTGATCCCCAAGAGTCTGTATCTGGATCAGGATGATCAAATCCATGATTGATCTAAAAAAGGGATTAAAAATGAGCTGGATCACATGACCCAACATAGAAAGAACCAAATCTGGATCATTCTTATCCACATTAAATCTTTTAAACCAACAGGCCCTCTAGATAAGACAAAGATACAACAACAGCTTGAGGGCCATGTTGCTCGTTTGTTAGAGCATGTACCATTTAAAGCATGAGTCCTTATCTCAGTGGACCAGGTTCAGTTCTAACCTGGGTCCTTTAGTGGGTGACGTTCTCTCTCTTCCTCGTCTTAACTGTCCATCTTTAGTTGATGCTACCAAAAAAGGGTAAAAAATGTAAAAAAAAAACAGAGGAGGAGTCAAACACTAACTTCCTCATTCTCACTACAAGAAGAAAGGAATAAATCTTTTGTGGTTTTTGTGTTTTAGCAGCGAGGTGACTGGTTTGTTGCAGTTCTGCTGAAATTTAAAAATCGTCTTTTTTCTACATTTTCTCTGTTTAAGCTCCTGGAGGTTTGTTTGGTAAGATCAGCTATGACTGCTATTTATGTTTTATTGTTTTAGTTTTCAGCAGCTTTTATTTTCTTTAAGTGAAAATGACTGTTTTGTTCATCCAACTCTTTAACGAGGACTTTGAAGAGTAACTTAGTTTTTAATTCCAGGTGATGGGTGTTACTGCAGTCCTGTCAGTGAACATGGTAACAGCCATCATGTTACTGACTGTCTTCTCTCTTTCAGGTGAGCTGTTTGTTCACTTACTTTCATTCAAAGATGTTTAATCTGTACAGTTTGAACTTCCTGTAGAAACAAAGCAGAGAGAAGAGTGCAGATAGAGTTTCTTCTTTCATCTCTTCATGTCCTGACTGAAAAGTGAAATGTTTTAGACTGACTTTGTGAACAAGAGAGAAAAAGACCAGAGCACACCACATTACTTCTTAGACTCTCATTAACATCCTCTATATGAAGATCCTGCTCCACATTATAATAACTGATGGTCTGCTTTACAGAAGCGTCGGATGAATGTCGGACTTATTGGTCAGCGCTCTTCATCACTACACCAAAGAAGATGGAAGCACTGAGTGGAACTTGTCTGAAAATCCCATGTAGCTTTAGTGTTAAAGAAGAAAAAGAGTTTGACAACACAACAGAAACATTTGTAATATGGTATAAAGAAGACGAAGAGACCTACGATCCAAAGAATGTGGTTTTTAACAGTAGTGGCACAGTGAACAAATTTCAAATGAACATAACTGGAAACTTGAGAATGAAAAACTGCACCACTCTGATTTACAACATGAAGACGACATATGAAGGCGTATACTACTTCAGAATCGAGAACTGGCCTTTCATGGCAAATGCTCGTTGTGATCCTCTTCAAATAAAAGTCAAAGGTAAGAGAGTTTCATTTTCTTTTAATCAGACTATAAAGGTTTTATTAAGAAACAATAAATCATTGTCATAGCACGAGTTGAACTCTGATTAAATACTGAGACTCTTTTTACTGGTTGAGATTGAAGGGTCCAATCTTGGCACACTAAGAAGCAGAAAAACATTTTAATTTAAAGTTTTTAATTACAGTGCTGTCAGCTTTTGTCTTAACATCATTAGGACCATTTTTTCCTTGTAACATTTTTCAACCCTCCCCCCTCCTCTCCCATACACACACAAACATATACATGCACACACACACACACACACACACACACACACACACACACACACACACACACACACACACACAAAAACAACAACAATGTAACAATGATAAGTATCCTACCCTTCCTTTTACAAAGTACACACACATTTTTATATATGACATTACAAACCTTCTCCATGAAGTTTCCATGACAGAATATTAACGTGGTAATGATGACAGGCGGTGGCTGGAAGTTTGGAAGAGTATAGTAGAAAAACATTTTAGAAAGGACAGTCACTGTCAGCTAGTCTATTGGTTAAAGTAATCTTTGTTTGATTTGAACACACAGATTCTCCTCCGAGCCCCAAACTAATCATCTCAGGAGATCTGAAGGAGAAGGAGTCTGTCACTATAACCTGCTCAGCTTCCACTCCCTGTCCACTCTCCCCTCCTAAACTCACCTGGAATCTCAAACAAGACTCTCTCAACAACATGGAGGAAAACCCAGATAAAACCTTCACGACTAAAATCCAGGAGCAGATCACTCTGACGGACAAACATGATGGATACAACATCACCTGTTCTGCCACATATCCTGTGAATGAAGGAAAAGAAGTCAAGACAGCAGAGGAGACAAAGACTCTCAGAGTTTCATGTGAGACAACCAGAGATTGTTATTGGATCCTGTCAGAATGAGATGATTTTAAAGATGTTTGCTGTTTTTAATGAAATACAATTATCTAACATTTTCCTCAGATTCTCCTAAAAACACCTCAGCGTCCATCAGTCCATCAGGTTTGGTGTCAGCAGGTATTCATGTGAACCTGACCTGCTCCAGCAGAGCCAATCCTCCTGTCAGCAGCTTCACCTGGTTCAAGATCAGCAGAGATGGACCCATGATCGTATCTGAAGGAGAGTTTTACAGCTTTAATGCCACAGAGGGAGGAGTTTATTACTGTGTGGCCAGGAATGATCTCAGTAATCAGACATCACCACAGATCCATCTGAGTGTTGCAGGTAAATTTCGAACTGAATCATCACATTTGTGTCCAACATGCTCTCCTTTTCGATCTGTCAGGTTATTTGTTTGTTTTCACTAAAAACAAATCTTACTGAATTCATGTGTAATAATGCTACATAAATAAATAAAACAGAGATGTTCACATTAGAGGTTAAAAGATTAAATTAAAGTGCAGGATATCTTACAGCCATGAAAAGCTTTTTCCATCTAGTAGCAGGTGATCATGATGTCTTGTTCCAGAAAATCTGATTTCCGATCTGTTTGGGGTTGATGTCCACATTACATTGAAGATCCTGGGAATCGTGCTGCTCTGCAGTTCAGTCATCATCTTTGAGTGGTGAGACAAACTGTCATAAGAAATGAAGATTTGTGGCTCATGTTATTCATCTCATTGCATTTTTATTTTTACAGTGTAAGTGTTTGATTCTTATTTCTTTTATCTGATCTCTTTTTCTTTCAGCTGGTTAAAGTCAAGATGCTTCAACAAACAGGTGAAGGTGAGTTACTAGATGAGGACAGGTTCATCATTCTTTCTACAAAATGAGATTGAAGCGCGTGTTATAAAAGAGAGAAGTTATCTGAGTAGCTTTCTTTGAAGATTTGATCAACACAGTCACATAAAGTAATTGATCCAGAGAAAATGATGTTCAGATATTCAGGTCCAACATCAGCGACAGGAGACCAGATGGTAACAGTGAAAAGTGTTTCAGGAAAACTTAAACTGACTTTGATTTGCAGAGATAAACTTCAAGTGTTGCTGGTTTGTCTCTTGTAGCTGCATCAAAGTCACCACACAGCACTGACACCGCTCTCTCTGTGTTATTTCATTCAAACAGGACGCAGAAGAAGCAGACTATGTCCACAGAGTGGTTATGATTCAAGCTTCATGAAGGAGAAGAGGATGACTTCATGTTCATCTTAAATGCAATATCTCTATTTCTCTTTTCTGTATTAAATGTTTTTTCTTTGCAGCAGGTTAGTGATGAACAAAGGATGGGATACGACAGGAAGGATGTTTTTGTTCAAAGGCAGATAACATAAAAATACTGTAATGTACTGCAGCCAAATCATTACACTGTGAAGCACTGTGCTGGTCTATGGTATTGTTGTTGTAATTATTTTTTATATTAGCTTCTTTTTTAATAATACATTTCATTTCAACACACTCCATGTCAATTTACAAAGCAGAGATAAAAACAACAGAGTAACAATACATCCATCAAATTAACATTAAAAAGACAAATTTACAGAGTATGAAATCTTTGTGAGATAGGATAGAAAATGCCGGTTTTGATATGAGATTTAAAAATAGAGAGAGAGTCAATCTTACGGATGTGTGGTGGGAGAGAGTTCCAGAGGAGAGGGGCAGAGAGGCTGAAGACCCTGGACCCCATGGTGGACAGGCGGGCGGGTGGTGCAGTGAGTTGAATGGAAGAAGACCTGAGAGTGAGGGTGGGTGTGTTGATGTGCAGGAGATCAGAGAGGTAGAGAGGAGCGAGGTTATGGATGGGCTTAAAGAGCCCATATTATGCCCTTTTTGGGGTTCGATATTTAATCTATGTAGCTACTTTTGTACGTTCACAATAGCTAAAGTTTGAAAAAAGTTTCTGTTTTCATGTACTGCTCCTCCTTGCTCCCTCTACGCTCTGAGTCCGTCAGCTACACTCTGTTGAGCCCACACTGTTAGACCCCACGTGGCCAAGTCTGCTCTGATTGGTCTGTCGATCTGCTCTGTCGTTATTGGTCAGTTGCTCAGAACGCTTCTCGGAAATTTCACGCCCCTTTTACCATATTGGGAAGTCTGCAGCTCCGGCTTCGAGGGCAGCAAAAACACCGGTATATATATATTTCATTTATTTTATTATTTTATTTTATTTTGTTTTGAAATTGTGTAATTCGATTTGTTTAGTTGATTTATTTGTCTCTTAAGAGGTGAGGTCCCTTGTATAAGCCTGTTGGCTTCTTGACCTCTCCTGACACACCTTTTATTAATCCTATTTTGCTTTATTCTTATATGTGTGCTAATAAATAAATAAAATAAATAAAATATACAAACAACAATGGCGGTTAATGATCCTTACCAGTGAGACCCGGAGTCTGAAACCGAAGGAGAGGATGAACAACCATCACAACCTTTGCCACGACGGCTGGAGCAGGACGTTTCAGTGTGGTAGGTATTTATTTTTCAGCTTTTTTCAGATGTAATATGTTAGTAATATGTGCTCATTGTGTTTGCATTGTTTTACGTTGTTCTGGTGTATGTGTGAAAACTGCAGCAAAATGCCTACAGAAGCAGAAAAGGTGTGCTGCAGAGAAATACCACAGGTCATTTTTACAAGGTAAATACTATAACTTACAACCAGGACATCACAACAGACACACACAAAGCATGTTATGTTTGCATCATGTCTTTTCATCATAAAAACATTCAACGTTATTGTTTTGAAAAATGCGTTAGCCTCTTCTAATTTCAGTGACTAGAACTACCAACATATTTCCCCAATCAAAAAATATCTGTTTACTTGTGGCTTAACAAAGTTTGGCTATAAATTTACATTAGTACTGTACATGCTTAAATGAATAACGGTGAAGCCACTCACCTCACCTTGTACTGCATTGTAAATCACCTCCTTGCTGTGATTAAAAATTCAGTTTACAATTGTGTGTATCAAGTTCATCATATAACTGTTAGCTACCTATTCTACAAAAGCCCAGGTGATAATCATGTGTAAATAGATCAATATGTGTACCATGCAATAATTTTGCCTACTCTGTCATTAATTGCCCCATTATTACTGTACTGATGGAGTATTATTATTTCATTTTAATCAGTATCTTGTTCTTTTTATTAGGTCATCTGGAGAATGAATGAGCTGCCTGTGTAATGGATATAAGATTGTGCACTAAGTTAAATTAATAACACATGTTAAAACTATGTCTTTCTAAAATGTTGTATATCCTTTAAAAACGCTAAAAAGCTAGTTATAATTTAATGTTAATTCATGTTGCTAAGGTTAAGTTTAAAAGCATATCGGTAATTGATTGGTTTGGTCTTAAGCTTTTGTTATTGTTTTACACTTCCGGTTTTACGCCAGCAGGGGGAGCGTGTTGTCTGAGCGTCATTCATTACACCATTGAATGAAAGCCAGCAACAATGTGTTTGTTTGTTTCTTCTTTATTTCTCCCCTTACAGTACGCTGACAGGGGTGTAACACCTGTTCCTTCCACCTGCATGACTCAACATCCGGGGCTAGAAGCAAACAGTTTAACCCATATACACTCCAAAATATACACAACATTCTTCAGTGGACTACGGGCCTTTGAGAGGGAGAACAGCAGAAGAGTATGTAAATATAAAAAATGATTCTAAACAAACAGTTCATTTCCATTATTCAATATGAATAAAAGTAAACAAGTTACAAAACCTTTTTTGTAAATTCTTTATTTGCAGCTAAAGTTAAACAAAAGGAAATGAGAGAGAACTATACAATGTAATATACAATGAGAACATTTTTATGTCTCCATACAGGCTTTACAGACACTTGGCCTATCGTAGCTGTGTGAGCTGTGCTGGGGATATTTGGGACGCAACTGCAGAGTAGTCATCCCGTCGTGTGTTGTCCTGAGGATCCGGCTTGAGTTTCCAGACCCGACCGGACAGTATCTTGGCTTCCGCCCGCCCCTTGGCTGAACCTGGACTTGTGTCAAGCCACTACTTCCTCTTTTGAGGGACAAAGTCTGAGGCAAGATCCTTGAGGACTGGTATTCTCTGAAGCTCCTCAAGAAATGATGCGAGGTCCGGGAACCTCTTCAAACACCAGTGCAATCAAGTACCCAACATATTCTGAAAAAAATATATATATGTATAATTTGTTTATTGCTCATTTTTCTGTCATCCTTTTTTTACTGTTTCTGAAAGTATTTAAAATTGTTCTTTTGTGTTTAGAAAAATAAAATAATTTGTAACTTAATGTATGTTGGATCTGTTTTGACTTGTAGATCGGCTGTCCTGTAGAGGTTGTTGCTTGCTCGCGTTCAGCATTTTCATTGTAATGAATCACTGACAGAAACAACCTACAATACAAAAAGGTAAAATCAGCAATTATATAATGAAATCATATGTTTCTGATATTATTGGTCAGATATATCAGCAATTGGTTAATTTGTTAGAGGGTGGTACAACAGGCCTAACAACAAAAATGTATTTGTAAAGTTCTACAGCATACCTGCACAACATTCCCATGAATGGAAAGACCACATTCTTCGGTGTGAAACGAAGCAGCAGGCTATGGTAGGACTCAAGTGCAGAGGTTTGATAATGGTGGCTCAGATTCTCCACATCCTTCAAGACCCTCTTGTTATTCAACATTTTCTCTAGACGATGTAGAGCCACTGACCCGAGAGTAAAAACACAAAATTAAAATTAGAATAAATTAAAAAAACAGGAAGTTCCATAAAACTGTACATAAGCCATTCATCATTTTTTTACATGAGTGCTGTTTGCATACCTGGTTGGAACCAATACTTTGGATGAGTACACTCAGGAAAGAGAGAGTTTTCATGCTCATGCACATCCTGAATGTGGTTGAACATGGATGTGAACTTGGCCACCTTCTCTGGTCCTGATGTAGATGATGTTGCGCTCCAGTAAATGTGGTTCTTTATGGAACGGAGCCACTTGTTCACCACCGGGCAGTCTTTGTTCTCTCCAAGTTTATCCAATTTCTTTGACAGACCTGATAGCAGGGATACAAACAATGAATGAATATTAAATATATAGTTTGAGGAAGGCATGCTAAAGTGACAGTATGTGTCTATCAAATTAAGACATGAATATTTACCCTTTTTAAAGTGCCAAACATCATAGAACTGGGTGATGCTGCGTCCTCTCAGATATTTCCGAATCTGTGGATGGCGGTCTGTTACAATGTAATCAACCTCCAAACCATTAGATTCCAGACAATCTAGAGATCGCTTCAGTCCCTCCTTTTCCATGTGGTAACTACCACCGACCTCATTGCTCTTGTGGTGGAAAAAAAAGTGGAAAGTATGAATGTTGGAGAATGTTTCAAATAGTTTCCTGTCTATTACATGAGAATAGGAGATGTATCTCACCTGCACAAGTTGAAGATCAAGGATCTTGTTGCTCTCCAGGTGCATGAGTGTGTAACTTCCAAATTTGGCAGAGTGAGCTAGAATATAAGTAAATAAAAAACCAACGGTAAGTTGCAAGAATTTGTAATTAAAACCGAATATATGAAGATGAGGATTTTAACAATGAAGAAGTCAAATAATTACCAGGCGAGTCCGCACGCATGTCACCACCAACTGCAACCTTCCCTCTGTGTTGGAGATCCTGAAACATAGCTTGTTGGTCGTTGTTCCATTTGTGGATAATGGCTGGCTCAAAAAAAATTCTTGCATGTCTCCTGAAGGTGTCATACTGGAACATTTGGAGTTGTATTGCCTTACACACCTATAGTTCAACAAAGAGAAAAAAAAAACTGCAGAAAAAGATTGAAATATTAAGATATAGAGACCTACCTTTCCCAGCTGGAAGAATGAAGCGCCTGTGAAGTATGTAGCTGCAGATAACTCCAGATTTCCCACAGGGGTGCTGCCAACAATGGACTGGCTCTGCCACTTTCTGGAATAGTTGCAGTTGTGGCAAAACTGTTTAAAAGCCACAAATGTGCCCATGCATTGCCGCTGAACCTCAGACTGCCTCCTACACACGGGACAGGTTTCAAAAAGTTCCCTCAGGCACGAGTCAAACACAATGTATTTTGTGTGTATCATGAGGTGTTACCTTTGGTCTCTTAGGGAGGGGTGTGTATCTGGGTATCTCTGGGGTAACACAAAAAGTATGTGAAAGTTTGTCCAATTTTGTAATTACTAACTGTTATCTATTCATTTTCACAAGGGAGACACAAGGGATGTCTTCATGTGCTCAACTCTTCACACAGCACATGCAGGTGACAGTCCAGAGGAGAGTCAAAGGTGCAGATGGTCGCTGGGAATTGAAGGATGTTCCTGTTCCCCGAGCTGTCAAAGACTACAACCGGTATGTACACTATATTCAAATGTGTTTTTTTGCCGTTTGAAAAATAAAAATTTGCGTCCTATAGATAATCATGTTTTGGTATATATTTCTCACTGTTGTTTCTTTTTCTGTACATCCAGGTGCAAAAGTGGGGTCTAGCTCCACAGCCAGAACCATACAAACTCCTCCTCCAAGTGGAACACACCATAGGCCAGTGCACATCAGCATGGACCGCACCATTGGTCGGCGAAAGTGCAAGTATTGTCACAAAAAGACCCCATTGAAATGTGCCTCATATGATGTGCCCTTGTGCTTTATTCCCAAGAGAGACTGTTATAATGACTGGCATGTTGCAAATAACTTGTAGGATGTCACTCATAAAGATAGTTTGTAAATAATGTAAATATGTGTGTTTTCTAAAGTTTGCTGTGTTGCAAGAGTTTTCCACAATAACACTTGTTTCTACTCATTTTTTACACAGAACGGTAATGCACGAAGCTAGAAAAATGCACTTTAAATGTGTTTATGCTTCTATAAATCTATTTCAGCAATACTGATAGTGATTCTGAGTATTGTATAGCGTAGCTCTAATTGTTACCTTTTCATAGAGCCAAGAATGATGCATGTACGTCAAAGCGTTCAGGAGTAGCAGCCTTTTTATCCCAGGTATGTCATCATGGTTACCAAGGGTCCTTTTGGAGTCTCCAAATGGCACAGTTTGGAAACGCCTTGACATACCCATAGAAAAACAGCAAATTTGTCAAATTTGGACTGAAACTAGGTAAGGCTTTATGACACAGCCCAAATCACCTTTCAAGCTAATAGCGCCCAGCTGTAGTCATCTATTGGCTTATTTTTAAAGAAAATATTCAGGCGGAAACAAAATTATTTTTTTATTTGTAGTTTCAGCTTGTATTATTCAATACCAGTCGTAAAAACTGTGATTATGGCTGTTTGGGAAGAAACTACAGAGTGTTACCTTTCAAATGTGACCTTGTTTGAGCTGTAACTCTAAATGGTTCAAAAACAGCATACAATTTGCTTTGGGTATGTCTGGATAGGCGTTTTTTGGCATTATTTTGCAAGATCTCTAAGAAGTTATTAAAGGTGAGGAGCAGAATCTTGAAGTCGATGTGAATAATGGAGGGGGGTCACGAGAGGATGCAAGCAGCAGAGTTCTGGACCAGTTGAAGTTTGTGGTTGGACTTGAGAGGGGGAACAGTGAGGATGGGAGATTTAAAAAGGGTGTGAACGATGATGGAGGTACTGTTGGATGTGATGGACGGGCGGAGGTGATTTAAGTTATGTAGCTGGAAATAAGCGGGCCGAGTGACATTATTGTTGTGAGCTCTGAAGGATAGTGTGCTGTCGAGGAGGACACTCAGACTCTAAACCTGAGGGGAGAGAGAAACTGAGGAGTGATCAACAGGGAGAGAAAAACTGTCAGGTTTTGAAATTGTGGATTTGGTGCCGATTAGGAGAACCTCGGTTTTGTCATGCTGTTTCTTTCTTATGAAAAACAATTTTCAAAAGACAAACAAGGATGATAAGAGAGACTTTTGATAAGAAGAAGAAACTGAAAATCTGAAGGAATATTTGATTGATTCTGAGAAAAATAATCTTTGATGTTTAAATATGTTTATAGTCTGAATTGTATGTGTAATAAATGAATTAACTTAATGTACTATTGCTTTTTTTATAGGCTCCATCTGTGATCTTTATTAGTTAATAATTTGTATTATGTGTAATTTACGTCATGCAAAGCTTGCTTGTATGCAGGATGAGGAAAGTAGTCTGTTCCCTACTTTCCCACTTAAATGTATAAGGAGATATTTTTTAATGTAATGCTGTGGCCTTATTCATGAAGCCTCCTAAATACTAAAAGTTGCTCCTAGTGACAACTTCTAAGAATTTCCCCTTAAAGTTAAGACTAGATCATTATAATGATTCAACTTATTCACAAAGCGTCTTAGCCCTTAAGAGTCCATCTTAGACTTTTGTCAGTGCAAAGTGAGACATGCATGTTGAGTTCCTGGTTACCTCCACAGGTAAATCCAATATCTAATAAATGCTGATATAACTCTCATCATGTGTACATTTGAATAATTATCACACGTGTTAATTTCAGTGTTCATAATTACATAATGTCTGACTCGATTCTATGATAAAGCCCTATGGACGACATTGTGGTGTACTCGAGCACCTGGGACGAACATATACAACAACTGCGGACGGTGTTTGACAAACTGTGTGATGCTAATCTCATGCTAAAATTAGCAAAGTCTGAATTTGGCCAGGGTACAGTTACATTTCTGGGAAAAATCGTTGGTCAGGGGCAAGTCAAGCCGGTGCACTCTAAAGTAGAGGCTATCCTGTCATTCCCTGCTTCTTCTTCGCCGTTTTTTGAGGATGGCAGGATATTATCGTAGCTTCTGTAGAAAACTTCTCTGCTGTTGCGGCTCCGCTCACCGACCTGTTGAGTCCCAAGAAACGTTTTGAGTGGTCTGACAGTTGCCAGGGCGCGTTTGACTGCGTAAAGGCCTTAAAGGGCCCATATTATTCTTTTTCTGGTTTTATATGCTCTTTAGTGTGTTTTCCATGTATCCTGTGCATGTTTAAGCACATCTATTTGCAAAATACATCCGCGGAAACACGGCTTCTCCTACGTCCTCCTGTTAGCTGCAGCATTAGCTGCATGTAACGATCGATTCTAGACCCCCTCGAAAAAATATTGTCAGTGTGACAGTGTGATATCACTGATCTAAGCCCATTGGCTCGTTGTGGCAAGCCCTGCAGCTCATGTTGCACGCCCATTAACTTCTGTAGCACGCACATGATATGCCGTAGCCTGCGGTAGCACAGTAGTGCTAAGGTGCTAATGTTTTTGCTTCCCTCGGAGCCAAAGTGGCTGCATTCCCAATATGGTAAAAGGGGCATGACATGTCCGAGAACCATGCTGAGCGACTGACCAATTACAGCAGAGCCGACAGGCCGACCAATCAGATCAGACTTGGCACACGTGGGGACTCTGAACGTGGGCACTTCAGAGCCTTAGAGAGAGAGTCAGAAGCGAGCAGGTGCATGGAGCGGCAGTACATGAAAACAGCCACTTTTTTCGAACTTTAGCTTGTAGCGCCTGCAGAGTCAGAATCCTCTTTGTACACACCTCCATTCATTGCTTCCTCCGTCATCCACCCACATTCATCTCACACTCCAATGGAAAACCGTCCAAACTGAATCCGTCCTCCAGGAAGGGCATTTGTATAGGTGCAAGTCACCGGTGATCGGCGCGGACAGTCATTGGAAAAAAGTCAGTGAAGGAGAAGGTTACCTCGGCATAGAGCGTGATTGAAAGTTTGTGTATAGCCGTTTGTTAAAATCTTCGTCGCTGGAGGTCCGTTGCTGTCAGGCCCGGCTACCTGTTGGATTTGTTATTTCCCTGTTCCTGGTGGATCAGCTGTTCCCTGGATTAGGAGATGCCAGAGGAGAAAATTCAAATTAAAAAAATACTTTATTTGTCCCCGGGGGGCAATTCAAAAGCCCAACTCTGACTTAAACCTACTGACTGACTTAAAAACTTTGGTACCGTGAGTACCTGGTGTGTCTTTTGTTTCTTTGTGTTTTGATTGTTGCACCGCGAAGAGAGACGCTGGTTTTTCTTTTCACTTTGTTTCCTCATTTGTTTTCAAAGCCCGCGGTAAAACCCGGAGCAGAATTTTTGTTTTGTATTTGAACATTGAACTGAAATGGACTCAACTGTGGGTTGTGGGCTACGGGAGCGAACTTTTGCCGGAAGGGACTAAACTTTGAGTTCCACACAGACTGTGAACCACGCACACACAGTGCTCACATTCATTTTGTTGCAGTGTGGTTGATGCCTGTTATAATATATATATTTGAAATCCCATTGTTGTTTTGTTTGATTGTTTTTTGCTCTTGCTTGGCTCCTATTTTGTGCAGGTTGGCTATTTTTTTGTTTGCATTTAGTTTTTGTTTGTCAGACTTGACTCTGACTGGCACCCCAAAATTAAAACCTTGTCAAACCCGCTACAAGCTATTGTGAACATACTTTAGTAGGTACATAGATTAAATATATGAACCCCAAAAAGGGCATAATATGGGCTCTTTAATGACTCATGCTCCGGTTTTAGCTGCGCCTGTGTTTCATCGCCCTTTCAAAGTTGCGGTTGACGTAGGAGTGGGTGCTGTCCTCCTTCAGCATGGACACGTTAGAGTGGAACACCCGGTCTCCTATTATTCAAAAAAAATGTAACCGTCATCAGTGTGTGTCCATACTATCCCCAGAGCAATGGTTTTGCAGAAAAATCTGTGCAAATTGCCAAGTCACTCCTGAAAAAAGCCGAAGCTGATCACAAGGATGCCTATCTGAGCCTCCCAGAGAACCACAACACACCGGTTGATAACTTCAGATCACCAGCTCAGCTACTTATGAGTCGTCACTTACGTTCCATCCTACCCAACACCCACAAGCAGCTTCAGCCCAAGATCGTCAGCCAACAAAGTGCTCATACCAGGAGAGCTCACCAGCAACAAACCCAGAAACGATATTATGACAGGTCAGCCAAGCAGATGACACAGCTGCACGAAGGACAAAACATCCGTTTCCAAGATCCAGGATACTGGAAGCCTGCAGTCATCATTCAGCCTGCTGACACTAACAGATCTTACCACATACACACACCTGAAGGACAAGAGTACAGGAGAAACAGACGTCACCTTCTTATCACAAAAGAAACACCCAACACACACACACACAGACAACCTGATGACAACGAGCAGCAAACACCACACAGTCCCACATCACTCAACTCACAGATCACAAGTGAAACTGTCCCTCAAACAGTTCTTCACACTGTCCCTTACCAGACCAGGTACGGACGAGAGATAAAGCCCAGGTCTGTTTTGGACTTCTAAACTAATGTTAAAGGGTGTAGGTAGATCGCTGCCCTTAAATAAAAAATAAATGTTCATTGGTTATATGCTGTGATGTATTCTGATGCAGAGTTGATTTTACTAAACATTTTGATTTGGGTTTATTCACTAACAGCACATTATGCCATGTATACTGTCATTGAAAGTATGTGTTACGTTTATCTTTTCTAAAAGGGGGGTGTAATATTCTCACAGAATATCATTGTGGTTGCTTAGCAACACTGTTGTGTGGTAAGTTAGTAACATGTGTTCCTATTGGTTGCTGACTGAGCCTGATTGTGATTGGTCCGCAGTGTATGCAGATGGAGCCTGTTCTGTTTAGTATGTGTGAGAAGTTCACCTTCCTAGTAAGACTTCACCAGAATGTACAGAGTACACGACTGCAAATAAAGATTCAGTTAAAGCACGTCGTCGTAACAGATACAAAACAAGACAGGTAACTGCCGGTAATGAGAGGGAGATTACCTGCACAGAAAACTACACCCACATGCAATCACACAGCCATGCACCTCAGGACACACAGGAGAGGAGAAACAGAGAGAAATGAATAACACATACAAGAGAGTAAGGGAGGGGGGCTGCAATGGTGTTAAACCACAACACTCTAAGTGCAAGGAAACGCTCGTGTGAAAAGCGTTAGGTTTGTCACTGTGTGGTTCATGACCACTTCTCTGGTTAAAGAGAAATGGTTTAAAGTGAACTGATGATGCTTTGTAAGAAGTGTGATATGAAATGTAAGTACAAAGGAGAAGTTGTTCATGTATTTACAGTTTCTTATATTTACTAAGAAGTCTAATGTATGTTGTATTCAATATTCACTAAATTATACACTCATTAAAACATGAAACCAATAAAATAAACAACCTCAACATCGCCAAAGCTTGGGGTATCCAGTTCCTCAGATGGTAGAGCATGTACTATTTAAAGTCCTCACCACAGTGAGTGGACCAGGTTCAGTTCTGGTCCCTTTGCTGTTATTCTCTCTCTACCTCAACTTAACTGTCCATCTTACACTGCACCTATCCAAAAAAAGCAAAATAGAAAATAGTTTAAACAAAAAAAACATCAGAAGCAAACTTCCTCATTCACACAGAAGGGAGGATAAAGACGTTGATGTTTTTGTGTCTGAGCATGACATTGTGTAGGACTGTGCTGGTTTCTTTTTAATAGCTTCAATGTTGTTTCCTTTGTATGGAAAGCTTTCAATATTCTAAACAGAAATAAGGATGAATGAAAGTAGACATTTGAGATGATGAAAATACAAAAATGACTTATCCAGTTTTGTGTTTTGAGGATTTGAATCCAAATCTGTTTTCCATATGTAATAAAAAGATTAGTGATAGTATAGTCCTCCTTCAAGGGCGGCCTGTGGCTCTTTTCCTGCTGTACTGCTTCACTGACAAAGTAGATAAGGTACACATTAAGATTGTAAAATGAGTGATGTTGTTCACATAAAATGTTGCACCAAATAGCATTAACATCAAAACAAAATATGACATTAAAAGTGACTGTGAGCATGTTCCAGTTTGTTTTAAGTTTTGTGCGCCCTGTGGAAAAGTATGGAGTGTGAAGTCTCTTTTAGAGGACTGATGATCTGGATTTGTTGATCCCCAAGAGTCTGTATCTGGATCAGGATGATCAAATCCATGATTGATCTAAAAAAGGGATTAAAAATGAGCTGGATCACATGACCCAACATAGAAAGAACCAAATCTGGATCATTCTTATCCACATTAAATCTTTTAAACCAACAGGCCCTCTAGATAAGACAAAGATACAACAACAGCTTGAGGGCCATGTTGCTCGTTTGTTAGAGCATGTACCATTTAAAGCATGAGTCCTTATCTCAGTGGACCAGGTTCAGTTCTAACCTGGGTCCTTTAGTGGGTGACGTTCTCTCTCTTCCTCGTCTTAACTGTCCATCTTTAGTTGATGCTACCAAAAAATTTAAATAAAACAGAAGAGGAGTCAAACACTAACTTCCTCATTCTCACTACAAGAAGAAAGGAATAAATCTTTTGTGGTTTTTGTGTCTTAGCAGCGAGGTGACTGGTTTGTTGCAGTTCTGCTGAAATTTAAAAATCGTCTTTTTTCTACATTTTCTCTGTTTAAGCTCCTGGAGGTTTGTTTGGTAAGATCAGCTATGACTGCTATTTATGTTTTATCGTTTTAGTTTTCAGCAGCTTTTATTTTCTTTAAGTGAAAATGACTGTTTTGTTCATCCAACTCTTTAACGAGGACTTTGAAGAGTAACTTAGTTTTTAATTCCAGGTGATGGGTGTTACTGCAGTCCTGTCAGTGAACATGGTAACAGCCATCATGTTACTGACTGTCTTCTCTCTTTCAGGTGAGCTGTTTGTTCACTTACTTTCATTCAAAGATGTTTAATCTGTACAGTTTGAACTTCCTGTAGAAACAAAGCAGAGAGAAGAGTGCAGATAGAGTTTCTTCTTTCATCTCTTCATGTCCTGACTGAAAAGTGAAATGTTTTAGACTGACTTTGTGAACAAGAGAGAAAAAGACCAGAGCACACCACATTACTTCTTAGACTCTCATTAACATCCTCTATATGAAGATCCTGCTCCACATTATAATAACTGATGGTCTGCTTTACAGAAGCGTCGGATGATTGTCGGACTTATAGGTCAGCGCTCTTCATCACTACACCAAAGAAGATGGAAGCACTGAGTGGAACTTGTCTGAAAATCCCATGTAGCTTTAGTGTTAAAGAAGAAAGCAAGTTTGACAACACAACAGAAACATTTGTAATATGGTATAAAGAAGACAAAGAGACCTACAATCTAAAGAATGTGTTTTTTAACAGTAGTGGCACAGTGAACAAATTTCAAATGAACATAACTGGAAACTTGAGAATGAAAAACTGCTCCACTCTGATTTACAACATGAAGACGACATATGAAGGCGTATACTACTTCAGAATCGAGAACGGGCCCTTCAGGGCAAATGCTCGTTGTGATCCTCTTCAAATAACAGTCAAAGGTAAGAGAGTTTCATTTTCTTTTAATCAGACTATAAAGGTTTTATTAAGAAACAATAAATCATTGTCATAGCACGAGTTGAACTCTGATTAAATACTGAGACTCTTTTTACTGGTTGAGATTGAAGGGTCCAATCTTGGCACACTAAGAAGCAGAAAAACATTTTAATTTAAAGTTTTTAATTACAGTGCTGTCAGCTTTTGTCTTAACATCATTAGGACCATTTTTTCCTTATAACATTTTTCAACACCTCCCCCCTCCTCTCCCATACACACACAAACATATACATGCACACACACACACAAACAAATAAACTAACAATGTAACAATGATAAGTATCCTACCCTTCCTTCTTACAAAGTACACACACATTTTTATACATGACATTACAAACCTTCTCCATGAAGTTTCCATGACAGAATATTAACGTGGTAATGATGACAGGCGGTGGCTGGAAGTTTGGGAAGAGTATAGTAGAAAAGCATTTTAGAAAGGACAGTCACTGTCAGCTAGTCTATTGGTTAAAGTAATCTTTGTTTGATTTGAACACACAGATTCTCCTCCGAGCCCCAAACTAATCATCTCAGGAGATCTGAAGGAGAAGGAGTCTGTCACTATAACCTGCTCAGCTTCCACTCCCTGTCCACTCTCCCCTCCTAAACTCACCTGGACTCTCAAACAAGACTCTCTCAACAACATGGAGGAAAACCCAGATAAAACCTTCACGACTAAAATCCAGGAGCAGATCACTCTGACGGACAAACATGATGGATACAACATCACCTGTTCTGCCACATATCCTGTGAATGAAGGAAAAGAAGTCAAGACAGCAGAGGAGACACAGACTCTCAGAGTTTCATGTGAGACAACCAGAGATTGTTATTGGATCCTGTCAGAATGAGATGATTTTAAAGATGTTTGCTGTTTTTAATGAAATATGTTTATCTAACATTTTCCTCAGATTCTCCTAAAAACACCTCAGTGTCCATCAGTCCATCAGGTTTGGTGTCAGCAGGTATTCATGTGAACCTGACCTGCTCCAGCAGAGCCAATCCTCCTGTCAGCAGCTTCACCTGGTTCAAGATCAGCAGAGATGGACCCATGATCGTATCTGAAGGAGAGTTTTACAGCTTTCATGCCACAGAGGGAGGAGTTTATTACTGTGTGTCCATGAATGATCTCGGTAATCAGACATCACCACAGATCCATCTGAGTGTTGCAGGTAAAAACTAGAAGTGAAAAAGCTTCTCTTCTTTTATTTTAATTTCTTGTTTTGTTGTTTTCTGTTTGTGCGTTTTGGTCGGTTATTTTCATCTCTTTTTGAATGTACCCTCTTTACTGCATTGGTTTCAAACAGTTTAACAAATGATCGCTGCAATATTAACTCTAAATGTCTGCATACCACCCAACCTTTCTTTAATTCAGATATCACTAAAGCAAAACTATGTGGGAGATGTGACTCTATGTTTAAACACTTTAGACGGCAAAAACAAGACAAAACAGAAACGAGCAGGAACTAGTGACAATGTGTGTGTGTGTGTGTGTGTGTGTGTGTGTGTGTGTGTGTGTGTGTGCGTGTGTGTGTGTGTGTGTGTGTGAGTGTGTGTGTGTGTGTGTGTGTGTGTGTGTGTGTGTGTGTGTGTGTGTGTGTGACAGTGTGTGTGTGTGTGTGTGTGTGTGTGTGTGTGTGTGTGTGTGTGTGTGTGTGTGTGTGTGAGTGTGTGTGTGTGTGTGTGTGTTTGTGTGTGTGTGCGTGTGTGCGTGCGCGTGCGAGTGTGTGTGTGTGTGTTCATGTGTGTGTGTGGGAGGAGAAAATGTAAGAAGTAAAGTGTAAGAGAAGTTTGGACTAGATAAAGAATGAATAGAGAGACAAAAATAAACAAGTTAATAAAATCCCCTACCCTACCTCAGTCAGCCTGCGGAGGGGGCCGGCTGATGACTGATGGCTCAAAGTCCCTCTTAGGAGGGTACCTACTCTGAAACAGGAACTAAAGAGGTTCCTCTTAACGGGTTCTAGGAACTAAAATAGTTCATAGTTCCTGCAGTGCGGGAACAATAAAAAAGGTGAGGGTTCAAACAGTTACCAGAACTATGATAAAGTTCCTGCGGTCTGAAAACACCTTTTGTCCTCATTACTAATAATTAATAACTTAAGAAATAATGTTAATGATTATTATTGTTATTATTACAAAAACAACAAATAACAAATTAATAATAATAAAAATAACAACAACTCCACTTGTTTTTCACTGAACAGAGAAACCTGTTGATGCTCCTCTTTCTCCTCTTTGGGGTTCAGCTTTTGGGATCATTGTCGTAGTCGTCTGCCTCGCTGTCTGTATTTGGTAAGTATCACAAATGAGTCTGTCATCTGCTGTCATTGTTTTCCAACAGAGGAGCAGTGCCTTTGCATTATACTGATGAATAAATCTCCCAAAAGGGAAAAAAAGTTTTTTCCTAATTTTGATCTTCTAGTTTCCAATCAGAAGTATCTCCTCATGTGGACTAGTTCATTAAGTCTCTATACACACTCTAATTCACCGACACCAGTATAACCATGATCTCTATTGTCTTTCAGGTGGTTAATGAGGAAACATCAAACTCCCCAACAGAACCAGGTGGGAACATACTTAACTCATACTTCAACACTGAACACTCTGTTATGTTTTAATATATCTGTTGACATTGACTGTGTCCTGCTGTGAGAAAGCTAAAGTCTTTATTCTAAGCAGGCAATATGTCAGAGGTCAGCTGGTGGTGGAAATATGAGTTGTAGTAGCAGTTTATTCAATCAGTGATTATTTATCTCCATAAAGATCTACATAGACGTTATACTCAAGTTAAAAATAACATACATACATAAAACAAATCAAAGAGGTGTAGGCTGAAACTTAAGTTTACTGTCTATACCTTGTTAACCCTTTAACTTCAACGTTTAAATAACACCAATAAAAAAACTAAGTTTCAAACATTTCATAGAAAATAAAACAAACTAAAGTTCAAAAACATTTCATAATAATCAAGTAGGAAGCCAAAAAACAAGACAGCATGTCATTTGTATATTACCGGTATCCGTGCTCTTTTAGTTTCTACTAATTAATAAACTCATATAAATGTATAAATGGTGCATTGGTTGGTTCACAGTATAGCTACATCTACTAACATTGTTTTTGCTCTCTTCTTTAACTAAACAATAAACAGGTATTGTTCTTATATGTGGTACCTCATACCTCCACACAGTCGATCATATAATGAGCTCTGATGCAGAATATCCTCACTTTTATTTAATATGACAATGTAATGTGACATTTTAGATTTAATTTTATGCAGCTTTAAACAAAGTTTATCGTCAATGATCCCACCATGAAATGTGATTTCATTTTCCCTTTCTATATTGCAACATCTTTGATCTGGATTTTAACTTGACTTTTGAGTTTCCAGTTGCCAAAAATTAAACTTTATTTTACACTTTCCACTGTATTCAGAAGCAGATATTTCCAGAGCAGTAAAGATCATCAGTAAATAATACACATTTTAAAAGTTAAGAAACTTCACAGATGTCATTAATATACAGTATTAAAAACATTCAGGACCTACATCCCACCCTTGAGGAACCCCACAAGTAACCTTTAATCTTTTAGATTTGGATTATTTTGTTGTACATATTGATTTCTTTCATCAAGGTAACTTTTCACCTAGCATCATTATAAAGAATAGTAAAGTGAATATTTGGTTTAAATTTGTGCATTAACAGTTTGCTTTGTTAGATAGAGATAAGTTGATACAAAATATTTACTTTAAGTGACTGCCAGATGTTACAATACATGACTATCATTTTAGATAGCAATTATATGAGTTATTGAGACAAACTTTAAAAAGAAATCAAGCCCTGGAAGGCTCTCCTCAGAAGTTTTATCACTTAGGGAGACAACATAGCACCTGCCTTTAAGATGTTTTCTTGTTTGATTTCAGAGTCAAGGAGATGGTGTACTGGCTACTTATCAACCACCGAATGAAACAGAGGAAACCATCCATTACGGGGAGATCAACTTTTCAGTGCGAGGACCTGAACAGCTCTCTGTGTCAGTGCAGGACAGTGGACAGCAGCAGGATACACTGTATGCACAGGTCAAAGTGTCCAAGCCAGCAAGCAGCCGAACACAGCCTGCTGACGGTCCAGAAGATATCTACGCTCAAGTGAGGAAAAAATGAGTGGATTAAATTCATTTCATTAAGTTTCATTATACAACTTTTTTTTGTTCCTTTTTTTTTTTAACTTATTGCAGCTCATGTTTTATCTAGTTGAGCACAGCGTTAGGTCAGGAAGACCACGGAGTCACACTCTACTATCATGGCAGAGTTTTAGTAACAGCTGATCTCACCCAAACCTCATCAGCTGATGGCCAGCTGATTTCTTTCAAAGGATCCTAAAATTGGCCAAATAGTACTCATGACGCCTTATTTTAACTGTTCTAGCCTGCCTACTATTTGCTGCTCCCTCTGTAAGCAGCATTTGCAACTCTCCTCCACCCCAGCTCCTCCTTTAATGCTGTCCAGACTTAATCAATGTCATGCTGTTGTCATTGATGCCTGCTCTGTTTGGCTTTGCTGCTTCTCTCCCTGCCTTATGCTTTCCATGTTATCATGTGGAAGGGCAGGGAGATCCCAGACCAGAGCCATACTGCCAAATATAAATAATTACAATGAAATATTTTTCTTGACAAAGGGGTCCTGACTGAAATCTTGTTGCTGTAATATTTAGCCTCTTATATACAGTATGTGCAACTAAAATATACAGAAGTTGCAGTCCACATTTACTTTATTTTATTACCCTTTAATTTAATGTTTAGTTTTATTGTAAAATGCTTTAATTTGATGGTTTTTGATGAGGCATGTTAAATCTCCATCACTTCTCTTTTATTTCCATTTTCTCACCTTGTTTGTTTCCCATGTTTTTATTTGTATTTTTTAAAAAACTTCAAAAATAAGCACGAGGCAAAGCTTCTGCTTTTGAAGATATTTATTCATTGCACTGTAATAAAAACCTTGTCTCCTCAAAATACCTAATAATCTCAGTCGCACTTATTGGTCCAACACTTTATATTTATGTGTAAACATCACCTGAAATCAAGGAATTGAATCACAAACATTACAAAAGTGGCAAAATGGATTATGCATAGTATTCGTTGGGCACATGAATTAATATATTGACTACTTACAGGACTTTTTATTTTGTGTATATGTGAATATTAAGAGTGTTCTGTTAAACTTTTAATAAAGCATCATTAAACAACTGATGCTTAAAATTCATTTGAAATCATTTTGTAAATAAAATGTTAAAAACTCATCCATCTCTGTCAGAATTTTGCTAAATCTTTGGGTATTAGCCTGTAAACATTAGAGGCCTAGAAACTGTATTGCTAAATGTCACAAAGGCCCTACAGAGCCAGGTTGACTGGGCTTCAGGACCATGCCAGGTTATGTGAGAGAATAGAGGTAGACATATGCTTCTCTTAATGACAAGTTTAACAACTACAAACAAATCTAACCTTCATGTTGCAAAGCAAACCTGTCCCTCAGTGATGCAGCATTCATGTCAAGTAGTGTCAATGTGTAGGATCTGCATCGTAGATTATTTTCACTAAAATCACTGACTGTGTTCACAGAGAAAGAACATCTGTCTCACTTTTCCTGAACTGAATCCCTTCAAATGTTAACTTCTCTGTGTATGTGAACCCAGCCAGTGACTCTGGTTGCACCCTGATGGTCTAAATGTTGAGTCAGTGACCACCTCCCTGTTTCTGTGGACTTCATGTCAGTAGGTTTTTAATTGTGTACTCTGTCCTCCAGAGCCTTCAGCTCAGCCTCCACCTGAGCTGGCAGATCAGCTCCAACCTGCTGAGTGAAGTAAGCTCTCAACTCTTTTGTCTCCTTCTGCCAGAAAGGAACAGGCACGTCAAACAGAGCACCCATATCCACGTTGCCACTCAGACCTTTAGTGTCGACGGCGCCATCTACTGGCAGCCAGCCGATAATGCTCTTCTTGGCTGCTTCATCCTCACTCTCCCTGCCGCAGCGCTTGAAGATCCACTCCAGCACGCGGGCATTTTCACCAAATCCGGGCCAGAGGAAGGAGCCAGATGCGGGGTCCTTCCTGAACCAGTTAACATGGAAGATCTTGGGTAAATGAGTGGGGGCCTTCCTGCGCTCCATGCTCAACCAGTGAGCGAGGTAGTCACCAAAGTTGTAACCGAAGAATGGACGCATGGCAAAGGGGTCATGCATAATGACCTTTCCTGAAGGAAACATGACATCCTTTAGCAGTAGTTATAGTAACTTCCTCACCATCCTATCTTCAAAGAACAACTCTTAAATGATTTGTGTGAGCTTGTACCTTTATGCTCAGCAGCTGCCGTGACCTCTGACCTCATGGCTGCTCCAACAAAGACTCTGTGCTGCCAGTTGAAGGACTCATAGACCAGAGGAACTCCTGACAACATCAGCATTTGATCAGTTTCATTTTTGTAAATTTGAAAACTTTACATTAGTTGAGATGAAGTAAAAACACAATATTAAGTTATCACAACACTTTCACACATTTCTAGTAAAACTGAGAATGACTACATTTTTTTTATCAGTGGTGAGATGGGTCTGAAAATATTTATTGCATCTCGCTGAAGGTTCAACCCACAAGTCTAATGGTGATTTGTTTTTTCAGAGTCAACCAGGTGAAGAGATGTCTGCAGAAGAGCCAGCAAGGAAAACAGAGGAAGAAGTACAAGAAAATATCCATTACGGAGAGATAGACTTCTCCAAGATGAGACATGAAGAGTCCTTTAACTCGGTACAGGACCGAGGACAGCAGCAGGAGACACTGTATGCACAAGTCAAAGTGTCCGGGAGAGGAAACAGTGGAGCACAGACTGCTGGCAGTCCAGACGATCTCTACGCTAAAGTTAGGAAAAAAATATAACCAGATGAAGATGTAAAACTTCTACATTTTTAAACAACTATGATCTTAACTACATGTATCATAAAAAAAAAACATCCACAATCCTGTCTGAAAAAGAGACAGTAAATATGGTGCAGGGCTGAGCGTCTCCAAACGAGGACATCTGCTGGATGGATGGAGCAATGCAGTGAAGCTGTAATGCAGCTAAAGGAAGTGACAGAGAGGCAGAACAGGCAAGCAGTACTGAGACAGCTTTATAACAGTGTAGATGACCTCTGATTCAACAACATTTAAAACATCTTAGGGTCACTTTCAAAGGTTGTTGGTAAACCGATTGCACCTAATGCTATGACTGCACTATTTGGTGTTACTCCATCCACAGTATCACTTTCCTCCTTAGAAACAGACTTTACAGCCTTTGTTACCCTCGTTTGCCAGACGCCTAATATTATTTAAGTGGGAATCCTCAGATGTATCTATGAATGGCTTCCCAAAAAGATTGTGTAAGGTGTAGGACCCCTTTCTTATGTATGTACAAGAGCTGGACCTACGAGAAATCCCTGATTAGCTTTATAAATGTTCTACTTTCATTAAATGTGGACATGATGTTCGATGGATTGACTGAGTGTATGCTACATGTATGCAGAGGTGTAAAGTAACAAATTACATTTACTCGCATTACTGTAATTGAGTAGTTTTTTGGTGTACTTACTACTTTTTATGTCGTTTTAAAAATCTGTACTTTTACTTTTACTTAAGTAGGTTTTCTGTTAAGTATTGTAATTCGCTACATTTTAAATCACATCCGTTACTGAGTAGAAAAAAATAGGCCTGCTATGAATGATTTTCCTTCATCGCATCGGACGAGAGAGAAAGAGACAGAGAGACAGAGAGAGAGAGAGAGAGGGAGGGAGAGAGAGAGAGAGAGAGAGAGGGAGAGAGGGAGAGAGAGAGAGAGGGAGAGAGGGAGAGAGACCCTTTTCTTGGCTCGGTGCCACTTCAGCTCGTGCAGCACGGGTAAGCGGGTCTACCTGCTGAAGGTGTTTATAAACTGATGTCTTATTGTCTTCACTACAAGATGATTTCAATAAGTTGGCTGTGGTTCTGACTCTCGGATGAAGAAGTGGCTTGAGACTAACCAGCCTCAGAATAACAAAACTAAAAACACTAAAATACTCTTAACACTGTTTATGATTGAGACAAAGACCCCGTTAATATTTTCTTAAATAGTTTAAACATTTCCCTTCATAAAACAGCTGATTACTTGAACATATAAGCCTTGAATATGTATCCATTATTTATATTTTGTTTTTGTCAATGGGGTAGAAAAGAAAATGTTTATCTGAAAAGATAAATCTTTGTAAAGATTGGCCTTTAATTAAAAAACAACTTTGAGATTAATATCCTCAAAGTAACTAAGTAACTTTTACTTGAGTACATTTTTATGCTGGTACTTTTACTTGTACTGAAGTAAAATTTCATCAAAGTAACAGTACTTTTACTTGAGTAGAATATATTAGTACTCTTTACACCTCTGCATGTATGACTGTTATTATTGTCAGTATAAAGATATGTGTATGTGTGAGATTATTTGTTGTGTGTGTGTGTGTGTGTGTGTGTGTGTGTGTGTGTGTGTGTGTGTGTGTGTGTGTGTGTGCATATTATTTTGGTTTACTTATTGCCTCGTATATCTCATTTGGTTACTACTTCTATTTTTACCTGTAGTGTTGTTGTATTGATTATTTCAATGTATGGATTACTGCCCTATTTTTGTTTGTTCAACTTTGAAAAAGCTAATAAAAAAAGGGAAAAAAACATTTTGATAATTTTAAGCATTTCTCATCAGGCCTTGGGAAATGTTATTAAGTTATAAAGTTATAAAGTTGCATTATTAGTAATCCTTTCAGTACAAGGAAACTGAGACAGACATCTCACTTTTCTATTTTAATAAACACAAATAGTTTGACATGTCAGTGTGTTCAACATGTTTGATGTTATATAGAAGATGAAACTACATCTGTGAGTGTCTGATAAGCCTATAAGAGAAGTGGTTGGATATAAAAAGATGAAAAAGAGGGGAAGTATAACAACCAGAGGTAGTTTGTTTTCTTCTAATGAGAACAAGTCCTTCCACTGTATCATTGTAGCCACTGTAGCTGCACAGCTCTCTACAACTAAATGTTTTCATCAGTCCACAACTCTGTTCATTATCAATGCAATGATTTTTTTTTCATTGATTGTGGAAACTCTTTATTTAATTTAGTCCAGTTTCAACAATGACAACTTTTACAATTCCAGCTGCATTAAAAGCAAAACAATAAACACCTTGTGATGATCCATAGTACTTAATGCAGATCTTTCATCTAAATAAAAAATGTAGCTACAGCGGCCAGAGTTACAACCCCAACCCGTATTATTAGAGATATTTACACTAAAGGAACAGCTGTATATTTGTGGTTTAATGGATTTGGTTTGGTCTTGTTATGAATCAGCCTCTGTATGATGAATGTTAAAAGTTCACCTTAATCATAACCTGTAATCGTATGTTTCTTTTAAATATGTCACCGTTAGGATTAGTGAACTTTTTTCACATAAGAAGAGGGCATTAAAGCTTGCAAGGAGTATGTGGTTGATGATTACTGTCTTTGAGAAGATAAATATAAAATAAATGATGTGCACACTTCTCCATGTGAGGCAACGAGCAGGCAGAATGCTGACATGTTATATTTCTCCACCTCAGCAGAGACGTCTGTAATTATGTCGGTTTTTTTTGTTTTTTTGCTGCAAATTACAAAACACCAGATTCTAGGACATATTGTGTCTCTGTGTTGCCTACATGATCATGTGGTGGTAAAACATGATCAACCCAATCCTCCTCTTCCTTGTTGAACATGCCCCACGATGTCTGCATGTCTAAGGGCAGCTGTTGCCTCCTCCACTGCTCTTGCTGGTCTCCATTTGCTCCGCTGCTGCCAGGGTTGGTGCGTTGTTCCTCACCACTGCATCTCTGGATTCCTTCAGTGTCATCTAAAGTCTTACTTTAGCACATTTGAACTCCTCCGTGAGACTGCTGAGGGGCAGTTTTAAGGACATAATCTCCATAGAGAATTATGGAAGTCAGGCAGTGTGGGACTACAAGCCACTTCTTAATCTATCCTGTGACCCCTCTTTCCAGCTTCTCCAACGTTGAAGTTGGGACCTCGTAGATTGTAAGGGGCCACATGATCTGAGGTAATTGGTCAGGCCTTTGGAACCAATGAAGCTTGGGTGCCATGTTACACATTTGTTAGAGCATGAAGCATTTAAAGCAGAGTCCTTATCACAGTGGACCAGGTTCAGTTCTAACCTGGGTCTTTTAGTGGGTGTCATTCTCTCTCTTTTCTTCTAAGTGTCCATCTTTAGTTGATGCTACCTGTGAGGGCTGATGTGTGAGCTGAGAACACTGCCCTCTGTAGGTAGGTTGAGGGAGAGTTTCCTGGTAGATGTGTGGTGGGACTGCTTGGTGTGTGCCGGTAAGGGAGCTCTGGGGAGAAACAGTGACTGTGTGCTTTGGTCAGATACTTAATGAGGTTTCTCTTGTTCATTCAGATGTAATGAGCTGTGTCCTGATTTACCCTGACTGATATGCTCTGTAGGCTCATGTTGAAGAGGTAGGCTACAAATAACTGTTGTTGTATGATTAATTGTAGGCCTATGACTAATGTATTTAATTCTTTAGGAAATTCAGCCTTTGACTCCCTCCCAGTGTCAGCCTGCTGACCTTCCAGGTGTCTCCTTTAATCAGGGCCTCAGATTGAGCGAGGTAACTTTAACTGATAATGAAGGAGGGATCTTCCCTCCAAGGTGTTTTATCTAGTTTATATAAATGATGTTTACCATGTCTTCCTCATTATAGACGAGTGTCAGACTGCTGCTTTGCCTGAATCAGTTCATCCATGTCGTCTGGCTGAGATTGTTTGTTGAACTGGACTCGGCCATGGTTGTTGTGCTCACTGTCCATGTTGTGGTGGATAATTTACTGTGTACCTGCCCATATTTAAACCCATGAATGTGTAACCTTTATGTGAAACTGACCAACTGGACTTCATGCTTGTCTTTGTTTTATTTTATTTGTAGGCAGCGGGACGCGCTGCGGGGAGTACGTGTGGGATCCAGACCACTTCTTGCATGTGGTGTGGTCGGCCTGCTGGTGGTGGACACTCAAGTGTTTGGAAGATTGTCTTTTTTCTTGCAGTGTAAGTTGCAGCGTTAGTGATCACAGTGAGCTCACGTGGTGGTATCTAGTGGAGTCTGTGATAGAATCTCCCTGCGGTAAGTACCCTGTCTGGTTATATTTGTTATAGTTTATTTAAATCAGTAGCTATAACTTTTAGATATTTATTATTGTGAAATAAAAAATACCTTTCTATTAAACTTTGTGTTGCTTTCTATTTGCTCAGGTACTCCAGCACCAAGTATATCATTTTTAAATAAATATGATTGGTGAACTGAATGCACGTCTCCTGCTCTCCTTGAAGCAACACATTTGAAGCCGGGCCAATCAGGACC